GAATCCTACATCCAGTCGCTTTCTTTTCCAAGAAACATTCTCCTGCAGAATGCAACTACGAAATCTATGATAAAGACCTTTTAGCAATCATACGATGTTTCGAAGAATGGCGACATCACCTGGAGGGAGCTCAATTTCCAATTGAAGTTCTTAGCGACCATCGGAATCTTGAATATTTTATGACAACAAAATTGTTAAATCGGTGACAAGCCCGTTGGTCTGAATTTCTTTCACGCTTCGATTTCGTTATACAATTTCGACCAGGAAAACAAGGAACAAAACCAGATGCATTGACTAGGAGGTCAGGTGACCTACCTAAAGAGGGGGATGAACGGTTGACGCATCAGAGTCAAGTGATTTTGAAGCGAAAAAATTTGGATACCAAGCTAAGTTTGTTCGCGGGTTCTTTGTCAAATGAATCCGCCGAAGGAGCGTCCACTGTAGAAGAATTATTTTTAAAAGCTTATCAAGTCGATAGTTTTCCAAATAAGATTCTCACTATGCTTCGGAATGGCGTTCGCCACTCAAACAAAATCTCACTCGCCGAATGTACGGAAGATAACAACGGTCGGCTACTTTATCGAGGCATGCTATATGTACCAAACGACGATGACCTTCGACTGAGGCTTTTAAAAGAACACCATGACAAACCATCTGCAGGACATCCGGGTAGAGCGAAGACTCTGGAGCTCCTAAGTCGAGAATATTACTGGCCACAGATGCGGAAGTTCGTCGATCAGTATATTAGGAATTGCAATGTGTGTACCCGTAGCAAGGCATCACACAATGCACCTTATGGAGTACTTCGCCCCATGCCAATTCCCGATGGGCCCTGGACAGACGTCTCGATGGATTTTGTGACTGATCTTCCTGAGAGTGATGGGTATAATGCGATTTTGGTCGTGGTAGATAGACTAACCAAAATGCGGCATCTGATACCAACGACAAAGGAGGCGGATTCACGGGAAGTAGCAAGGCTATATATTGATAACGTCTGGAAGCTACATGGATTACCCGACACCATGGTATCCGATCGAGGAACACAGTTCATTGCAGAATTCTGGAGGTCCCTTTGTGATCGATTGGAAATCTCACCAAAGTTCTCTACTGCATTCCACCCCCAAACAGATGGACAAACAGAAAGGATCAATGCTATAATGGAACAATACCTCCGAAGCTATGTTTCCTACCAACAGGATGATTGGGTTCGAATGTTACCGATGGCTGAATTTGCGACAAACAATCATACCTCCGAGACAACAAAGGTCTCCCCGTTCTATGCCAATTCAGGCAAAAATCCAAGAATGGCTTTTGGCCCTTTGGAACATGGTCGAACGACGGCGGAGGATCAAGCGAACCGCATTGCAAGGGAAATGAAGGATGTGGTGGATTTCCTAAGAGAAGAGATGTTCCGGGCGCAAAGGATACAAGAAGAATCAGCCAATAGGAATCGAACTCCAGCTCCTCGATACTATTTAGGGGATAAGGTTTTCCTATCGACCCGTCATATTCTAACAAAGCGACCTTCTAAGAAATTCGACTGGAAACGTATTGGACCTTATAATGTTAAACGCATTGTTAGTCCCTATGCCTATGAATTAGAACTTCCTCGTTCGATGAAAATACATCCGGTATTCCACGTTTCGTTATTGTCGCCCGCAGCCAATGATCCCTTGCCCGGTCAGGAACAATTACCTCCACCCCCAGTTGAAATTGAAGGACAAGAGGAGTGGGAGGTTGAAGATATTTTGGATTCAAAGAAGCGCCGGGGGAGATTCGAATATCTAGTGAAGTATGTCGGGTATGATGAAGCTTCTTGGCAACCATTGTCGGACGTCGAACATTCGCCCGATATTGTTAAACAATTCCACGAACGTTACCCACGGAAGCCTAAGCCTACCAGGAGGTAGGCTTTAGAGGGGGGAGTGGTCTGTAACGGCAGCTATACGTTTCGGTTATGTGAAGTGTTAGAGTATGAAAAGGAAGGATTGTGCAGTGTGTGTGGGATTTGTTAAGCGAGTTTCTAATATGTTCTTTCTGTTTCTGTTACGCGAGAAGATGAGTCATCGTGGGTTGAGGTTTGGATATATATAAAGGGGTGTTGTCTCGGCTTTCTTCTGTTTTCTTTTCTTTCCTTTCTTCTTTACGCAACCTCTGTATTTATCCCACGAATACTATTCTTTGTCCGCACTACGTCATAGGGCTCCAACCGGTTTATCATACCAGGTAGAGCCACCCCATAGTCCATAGTCAAAGTATACCTTTACGTCTACGTCCACGTCTACGTCACTACCTAGGTTGTATTCCTTGGCACCACAGTCTATCGCCTACAGTTCCCGTGATAAAATCCTCGATTACACTTGGAACCAAAGCACAGAACTCGAGAGATACTTTTACTAGAGTACCCGACGTTCCAAGGCTCCACCAAGCCCATGAAGCTTAAGCTCCGATCGAAGAGGAAAATATTAAATGCTGTATGTTACTGTACTACGTACCCAATCTTCTTCACTAGCTAGCTCAGAAGGTGCCCAATCGAACCAGCCTACCAAGCCAGGCCAAGCCAAGCCAAGCCATGCAGTTGCAAGCTTGGCTCGCTACCTGCAGCCACATGCTCGGTACCAAGCTTCTGGGCACTTGCCTGTCGTGGGCGTCCTTGGAACCCAATCATGTGGCTGTCATACGATAGGTACAGGTCTCCACTCTACGCACTCTACTAGAGTGGAGTACATGTAGTATCTTTCTGACGTTTTTGAACTGGGCCATTATTGCATACACCCAAAATCATGAGCTTGGCGTATTGTTGTATGGTGCGCACACTCTTAAAGGTGATGGGGTGGCATACGGAAGATACAGAAGTGGAACAATTGTGGCTGCAATATGGCCTCATGGGCCAATAAGAGGGCCCATTTCTAGCCTTCTGCTGCATCACTGCCATGGCCTGATCAGGTTTGCTTCTTTAAGGGTATAAATGGGTATAATACTGTTCCACTTTGTTTAGTCTTGGCGCTTTTTATATACTAAAATACCGAATTTCAAGCTTGAATAACTTTTTAACCAGGAGAGATATCAAAAATCTGGTTGGTAAAGTTCTTCTTCATCACTAGTACTTCAATTTTACCAACCGGATTTTTCATAATTTGTTTCGTTGGAAAGTTATTCAACCTCGACCTCGCCCCAATTTTTTGACTACCTTTATGATTGGGCGCACCATATGGCATGCAATATCAGTCGCGTCCACAAACGTCGCATCCTCGGGACCTAGTGCGCCCTCGTTTAAAAACTCTCCATTCGTACGACGCCTCACATTGCAAGTATTTTTGACGTGGACCCGAATATAGAGTGAGTTTACCGTGTACTGTCGCCTCCAGTATGGTTGCCAATTGCCGAAAACAGAGGGAAAATAATCTATGCACGGATCGATTCGCCAACAGGGGCATGAATGCACGCACCTGTTGAATGTCTAAGACATCTTTATCTCAACCTCGATCAAACGGTCCTTTTTTTTTTTGTTGTTTAATTCATTAATTGTATGCAGACCGTAGTCTATGACAATATCACGATCAAACGGTTCTTGACTAGAGTAGGTAGACTACATGATACGAGTCTATGTACCAAGAGTACATGTACCTAGAGTACATGTACCTACTCTAGGCAGAGTCTGTCTAGAGTACATCGAGTGGTTAATCTCCTAGAGATCACAATATAGGCGTCTTGGCAAAAGTGACTTATCGTAAATCACACGACCGTTCTTTCTTCAGCTCTCAAGATCAAGCCCCCGAGATTACACTAAAAATCAAATTTGGTAATCCGGGGCAAGTTCCTTAAAGTCAAATCGTAACAGTATGTAACTCATTGGAAGCACTTACATACTCTAAACTATCTAGACGGGCCACAAGACCCGTAGGCTATGTTCAAATGGCACATTAATTTGGCCTTACGAGGCTGAATTCAACTGGCTTCAATCTTGGTCTTGGTGTAGAGACGGCCAATCGAGCTAAAACTGTGACATAAGATGACATGAATCGGTCGCTAACAACCTACTACGATTCAATGGCCTACGACGGTGGAGTGGACAAACCCTTCCTAGAGTACATGTGCTTGTTCGAGCAGAGAAAACGGTCCCATGCAGCATAAATGCCTGCAGAACGTTCGTTACACTGTGATCGTGGGATGTTGTACGACGTGGCTAGCTACATGTAGTCCATAAGGTTACAATTAGAAATTAGAATGATGTTTAGCTAGAAACCTTTCCTTTCGTTCCTTCACTGTACCTATACCAACTCAAATCCTACAGCCCACAATATCTTGAATATCCCCCAGTCTACATTAAACTTATGTACTCTAAGTACATGTACATATATCCATCTGTAATTTGGTCCTTTTTCGCCAGCATGTGCTCCATGTTCAAGAATTCAAGATCGATTGATCAAGGTTTCTCATCCGTAAGTACCTAGCTTCATAATTCCCTGTATTAAACATGCATTCCATGTGTTCATCTGGAAAATGAAGTTGATGAATCGACAGGGCTATCACTCATTTTGGAGCAATGTTAGAGATGTACATGTATGTATCATATTAGGGTATGCCATGGGAAGGTTTCAATTGCCTTGCGCATCACATACATATGTACCTACTCCACTCTAGAATCTGAATGACCAACATTGCGACCCTTGTTGGTGCTTTTCACAATCTCTGCACATATGTATGTACCTACTCCATTCCACACAAGGATTGTTCCAAGCGGTGAGCTGTGTCTCTCTTGCTTCTTTCCACTGATTTCTGCTTCTTTTGTAGCTCTGTAAGGCAGTGCACCGGTCTTGGAGTAGCCTTCAATTCCTGTGTACCTAAATGGATGGGGGGGGGGGGCGGTCATGCAGCTCGATATCCATATAAATACACTGCTGCCCCACCCAAATTGCAGTTTTCTACTCACCTCCCGCCGCCCTCTCCATCCCGTCCAATCTCGAAAGATCGAACAGCACTCGTCTAGCTCACTCACAATGGGTTTCCACACCATGAGCCGCCTCGCCACCTTGGCGCTCCTTTTCACCTCTGTCGCGGCGGTTGCTATGCCTATGCCTATGCCGCAGCCGCAGGCCCTGGGGAGCTGCCAGGCGTGCATGCCCATCATTGAAACCGCAAGGAGATGCGGATACGAAATTTTTTCTGGTTACTACGTGACGGTGGCGGAGCTCAATTGTTTGTGCGGTATGGATTCATTTGTGGATGAGTTCAAAGCGTACGTGCACAAGCCAAATCCCTTACTAATGCTACCATATCCCACCCCTATCACTCAAGCAGTGGTGAAAGGCGTGACAGGAAATATTATTGAGCGAAAAGGGGAGGGGGGGAACTAGCTTCTTCCCCATCTTCTCCTATTCATTTTCAATGGAAATATGGCTAATACTCTGCGCTGTAGATGCATAAAATGCGCAGTGACTATGGAGCAAATGTCCACCACCGAAGGAATGGTTTACAGCGATGCATTAGAGGCCAGCTGCCGTTCGATAATATCGGATGGAGGCTCTGGTGGGGGCGGAACCTATAGCAGTGGGGGGAACTCTAACAGAACCTCTACCGGAGGAGGAAACTCTAACGGAGAGGGACGCAACTCGAATGGGGGGGGCAACTCGAGCGGAGGAAACAACTCGGACGGTGGAAACAACTCGAACGGAGGAAACAACTCGAACGGAGAGGACAACTCTGATGGAGGGAACAGCTCTAACGGAGGGAACTCCAACAACTCTGGCGGAGGCAACAACTCTGATGGAGGGAACAACTCTGATGGAGGAAACAGCTCTGACGAAGTCGAGACCTCTAACGGAGGAGGATCCTCTAACGGAGGGGGAACAAACAACGGATCCGGGAGCGGAACCAACGCAGCCGGGACCAACAACGGAGCTGCCGACAACTCGAACGCAGCCGGAAGCACTCTTTCGAATGGTGTTGAAGCTTTGGCCATGAGATCAGGACAGTTGATATTTGGGGCGATATTCGCAGCTGGGTTAGGCTATGTTCTGTAATTTTGAGCGATGGGAAGTGAGGTCTAATATTCATGTATATGTGTTCGTTTAATTTACGAGTGTGCTGGCGGGGAAGCGATTGACGTGTTTATGTATCTACCTCAAAAAAACTGCCACAGAGGACTAACTTTTTTTATCTCGCATCTTGTAAAAGTTCACGATCTTCTTCGTCTTTACAGGAGTGCCCGATCGACATTAGCCACCCTCAACTGAGCCTCAAAGCGCCCCATTAAGCCATACTTTCAAGTGAAAAAAATAAAGCCCCAGCCGGCCTAACGTTCCTACAAAGGTCCCGATTCAATCAACGATTTCCATCCAAATCTTGCCGTTCAGGTACTATGGATGTTTACGTACCTCTTAATTAGAGTGGGCGGACTTACTCCCACTGCGAGTGAGTTGTGAGATCAGTGGTGATCGACTCGTGGTGATCCTGCTTCTCCAAAATAACAGTTGTACATACTTCGGAGGCCGGAGGACATGGAGACGAAACTAGAGGTATCCAGTATTAAGCAGACCGTGGTGGTCCAGCCGTGTAGGAGTGACAATGCACTGGTGAGAACCTGATTTTGGGTTTGAAGCGCTTGAAGAGCGAGTGATGGATTGTGACATTACTATATCGTGGGACCTATACGTATATCTCCAGTCGAATGATAATATAAGGCACAAATAAGGATGTTATGAGTTTCCAGTACCCAACGCACCCCCATTTTTCCACAAGGAACTTGTCTTTCGCTCCCAGTCGACAAGCTGAGCCGCATATCTATACATACATGTATGCGTAGCCTCATAGTCTGAATACCAAAATAAGGCTTATCCCACTCGAATCTAGACTTCACCGCACTGATCTCCTCCAGAAACCAATATATGGAACCGCCCTTACCTTGTTATTCGCAACTTCTCTCTTCATTAGCATGGGCCCATCTACACTCTTTCAACATCCATCCGCCCCCTTCTCCCGCCAAACCTGTTAATTCTACTTATAACAGGTACATATAACCTTCCTCGCCTCCATACCGGGGGCTTACACACCTTTCCAGGGCCTTCGACGAGACCTTGAGTTCTCTACTCCCCCATGGGCATCTCAGCTGAGCCAGCATTATCGAACTAGGCTCGAGTTTTTCCCGCAATTGCAAGCGTTTGAATTCTGTCAATCTCTCCTTCACTAAGAGAGCTCTAGCGGGCGGCTTCCAGAACCCTACGAGGGTATAGAGACGGCGCTAGATAGAGAAAAAGGGGACATAACGTCAACTAAAATAGACTCGGATCCGGAGTGGTGCGAGATTGCCGTACCTTCAGTCGGTGCCGGAAACCGACCGTACCCAATAAGCACAACTCGGTGATGGGCGATCCGGAAATGAAGAGAGAAATCATCAACTACAACGTGTTAAGATTTCTAAGCTATGTGTTTAAACAGTCACTGACGTGATTAATCTGTGTGTTATCTGAAAGGATTGGGCGAGGACATATACAGATCGCTACTCTTTCCGGCGTTTTACCTTTGGTTAGAGGCTCCGCTCAATCCGAGAATTCTATGCCCTAGTAGACACGCTGTTGCTCCAGATCGGATTTGAGAGACAGCTCGACAGAAAGAGCACTAACTCTTTCTTTCGCCGCTCACATCTCCTACACAATCCCACTAGATGTTAACATTTGTTTCCGAAAAAACTCTCATCTTCCTTTCTACGCATGCCCCTGAGCTGCTAGGGAACAATTATCGCCACCACAACTACTTAATCCATCACCGCACCTATCACTGGGGTTATTCTCGAAGTGTTTCACTTCATGTTTGTCACTCAAACCAGAGAGGAGTTGAATGATGCCTAATTTGAGCACAGCGTCAGCTTAGGTCCTAGAAGGATGACACTTGCTCGGGTATGGGTTTCTTCTGCGGGGTACGGGTAAGGTGTTCTGGTTGTGGGTATTTTCTGTAATGATGCATCATATGGACTCGATCGAGTCCTCAAGGGTTGCATATTCTCCCGTCCCCAGTCCTTATAGGGCGTATATAATTTGGAAGGAGCCATGATATATCGATACGTATCCATCCTTCGTAATAGTGCTGTCAACCTGCTATATCCCCTCTATCATGCATAGGCATCTATCCAATGCCCGTTCTTCAATCATACAATATTAATATTACCAGTATCGGATCTTTAAATAGTCGAGAGAATCACTGCGATATGAACATTCGAACGAGATTAATTAAGAGTAAATCCTATCCCCAAAAGTAACGAAATATCGGGGTTAGGGTTTGAGGTATCAATACTTCTCTAGCTCCCGAATGTTTCCATTCTATAAGCTGCGTCTTGAGGCAGTTTCTGAAGTAGATACCATTCAAATTACCGTTAATTGTCGTCAGGGTTAGGGTTTCTTTCTCGTTCCAGAAAACAGAAATATTCATAAGGTTCATGAAGGACCAATATTTTCAAACGCATATCCTCTCAACTCGGAACTCAGTAATGAGGTGTTCCCAGCAATCCGTGGGCACTATGATCGGTGGGCCCGGCTCCGATCAATTGGCGGTAGTAGACCGGATTCGATTCTGATCCGGCATGTACAAAATCTCTATATCGGCTCATCAATAATCTGACTATCCAACGGACCTTTTGCAATTTTCTCGTGGAGAGCTGGGGCGCTCTAATCTTGGTAGGGCGAGAGAAGTTAGACCTCATAATTAATGAATTATCAATCAAGTTAGACGTCATGAACTATCACTCGTGTACCAAGGCTTGGCGTCGTTGTGGTGGAGAAACGAGGGGCCAGGGTTTTTTTTTTTGATTAATTCATTAATCGTATGCAGACCATAGTCTATATGACGATATCGCACTACCCCAGAACTACCCTACATCCACCGCCACTTGCAAAATAAAATAAAAGAAAAGTAAAGAAGAGTAACTAATGCTAACAAATAATTTTGACCCTGTCTCTCCTTCCATCTTCCCTCCTGGGACCAAAAATAAACCCTTCATATCCTGAGTAGTCATCTAGATATGTGTACAAGAATCTTCCAACCCTAATGGTGCCTCTCCTGTCACTTATTGTTCCACTGACCGTCGTTATACCGAGGGGCCAGGGGTGTGGTATGCGTCGGTACAACAACGTGCAAGATGTGATCAACTGATGCAAGATCAACTCCCAGCGGTAACTTATCTAAATGTTTCACTGTGGACTTTAAGGGTTGGATCGATTTGGGGATATATTAGATTTCCAAGTTCACCCAATACCCTAATGGCTTAGAGCAACTTGATCAATTGATGAATCCTATCTTTGGATTCCTTAAACCCAGCAGTAACTATGCTGACCAGTATATAGGTCTGACACCTACCCGTCATCCTATCCGGTTGTCCTTTACCAATACCGTGTCGGCACTTTACGGCGGGCGGTACTAATGCAACGCACCATAAACAACCAACTCCCATCGATACTGGCGTTACACCACGGTCCATATCTGGCCTTTCGTACAACAAGAGCTGCATATTTCTGCAACTTTAATTTTAACTACATGTACATACATATATGCACACCTCCGCAGTCGTTCCCAGGCAGCAACAAAGACACTTGATGGCCTCCCTCTTTCTCTCTTCACAATCACTACCGCGACGCATTGGCTAGCCGTTATTTCAAATCCCCGTTATTCGACACCCCTCCAGCGCCCTTTCCCAGCTAAATATGCAATTGATCTGACAGCCATAGGACGAGACCTTTGGCTAACCTCACAACCATTATTGGATGGGTTAGATTTCGTCGCATGGCCATGGGCCATATGTATATGACAAGAACCAATATTGACAACTCCTCCTATATACATTTGCATGCAAAACCACATGGCGGCACCCTAGCTGTGTCTACCTAGAGTACTCTTTAGAATTAGCCTTGCTGGGATCCAAATATCGTGCCCGCGTGGTTCTGGTAGAGTAGCTTTGGGAGAGGGACATGGCGCAGCTTGATCAATTGATCGATAATTCTCCATGCTAGCGCAGGTTTGTTTCTTTCTACAGCCCCAAGAAGTGCAAGTATGTAACAAGCAGTGCCAGAGGTTAGACAACGGAATTCGTCGCGGGCACTGGCCACGTGCACCACGGTATAAGTTGAGTGGGTTATGATGTAGCCTTTCGATCCGAATCTAGATGGCTTCCTCCACAGCAGTATAGGCAAGTACTAGGGTGTAGCGAAAAGTGTTCAGAATCTGAGAAGACAAATACACGTATTCACCGCAACATTCACTTATCAGATTTTGATCACTTACCCTCAACACCCGGTACTGACCCGCGCTGGAAAGAAATGCCTAAATAGTTACAGCCATTGTGTCAGAAGCTTCGACTTCCAAGTTCGTTCAAACCAAACGCTTATTTATCATAGAGAAATGTCTGCTATGTATCATGCAGCGCGTAACATACAATTTCCACATGTGGTGGGGCTGAAAGTATTTACTCTATATACATGTACATGTCGGTCCCGATTTGTCGCTTCAAGTGCACAAAGCTGAAAAAGCTTCTACAGCGAGAGGTAGAATTATTGTAGAAACAGGGGTCTAAAACAGGGTTTAGGTGGCTGACTCGGCCAATAGGACTCTTCCCATGCTTCTACATAGGTATGTATGTATGTATGTATGTAGAATGGGCAAGCTCCATGACGTCGAACCTGCACCATAAAACATGCCCTTTTACGATTACTTCCACTGATTATCAACTGGTACGTGGGAGTGTCGGCCCCTTACGCTGGATCATCTCGATACAGGATCGAACACACAGGGCCAAGACGGAACTTTCCTTGCAGTGCCAATTAAGCAATTAAGCGGACAAACGACCAAACAAAGCCTCGCCGCTTCTATCGCTGTGAGTCATTAAGCAACTGTCCATGCAACAGACCTGTATACATGTAGCTAGATCAGTTGAAACTTCACGGAGCCTAAGAGTACTCTAGCCCGTGTGTATAATGCCAGGGTACATTAAGGGGTACATTCGGGTAGAGTACTTTACTCTCTACATACAGATTCTGGTAAAATTATTGCGAAAGCGGGTTCTCCGTGACTCGATAGTCCTATTGCCCCTTAAAAGTTTTTTTTTTGTGATTTTCGCAATAATTCTACCGGAAACTGTACTCTACATGTACCTACTCCACCTAATCCTCTTCGTCTTCTATGCCGTTCAAGTACCTATATACTCTAACCCAGCACCTCCGCTCAGTAATCAGCCCCTGGCACCCAGTAAACACTTTATTTTACCCACGATAACCCTCTGTCGGATCTCGGAAAAGGATGAGTAAACACCAGGCTAGGATGGGAGTACATGTATGTAGCTACATATGTACTAGCACCCCCCTTTATCCTTGGCGCTCGCTTGTTTGTGCGACATGGTGTGTGTAACGCCGTCTCTCCCCTGCCTGCAAGCTTGTGTATCCAATTTTCCCCGTCCACTCGCTGCCACAGCGCCCCGTATGCAGACACCTTCAAGTATACTCCAGTTAACAGGTCTAGTCTACTGGTAGGAACATCACGAGGCAATGCCAATATTGACCACTCATCCAGAGCTGCCACTGTCTAAGAGTATTAATTCTATGTATGTACTCTACCATGTACTCTAGACTGTTCCTGTCCTGTCAAGTCAAGTCAAGGGCGCACGGATGGTGCTATGTGACACAGGGACAGGGTGCATGTCACTACATGTAGTGTCTTTCTTTTCTTCTTCCGTGTCCCCCCCCAACTAAGATTAAGGTTAAGGTTGGTTTCAACATCAACTTCTCGTATCGAAGGGAAGTTAGTTAGGGGACACAATAAAACATGCACCCAACTACAACTATATAAACACCCCCCAAGAACCACCCCCCACCACCCCCCCCAAAGACCGAGCTGTTCCTCAGTCACCTCACCTCACCTCTGTCCCTTCATCCGTTCTTCATTGCTCAATCAACCAGATCCAATCCACATCCAACGCAATGCATTACTCATCCGTGACCTTCATCCTCCCCGTGGCCCTTAGCTTGGCTGGGTCCGTGGCAGCGTTTGCCATGCCATCACCACAGGACTTCTCGAGCTCGAGCTGCAACCAATGTCTTGCGCTCGCCAATGTCGCGGACACGTGTGGCTGGAGCGTAACTTCGACCTCTGTACCAACGATAAGCCAGACCACGTGCATGTGCAACCTTGATGGCTTCATAAAGAACTACAAAGAGTATGTGATCCCCCAATCATCCCGCCATCCCTCTCTCCCATGGGAGAGCAACCTCACTGGTATAGAACAAATGCTAACGTATCATCTGCAAAAACAGCTGCATGTCCTGCATGGTTAGCACCGGCGTTATGGACGCCTCCAGTGCCGCAACATACAGCACTGCTGTCGTGGATGGGTGCGATACCCTCACTGGCGGCGGAACCTCAACTTCCGGCTCTGGCTCTAGCAGTAGTACCTCCACCGGCAGCTCATCCTCCTCCACCTCCTCATCATCCGGAGGGTCAACGTCAACGGGCACTGGAACTGGTACCTCTTCCGGAAACTCAAACAGCAATGGGAACGGCGTGCTCGGCCAGAGCGGCGCCGGTGCGTTGTCCGCCGGCTCTGGACAGTTTGTCCTCGGTGCTGTTGCAGCCGCTGGGGTTGCGTTCTACGCTCTGTAGATTTCTGACCTATTAGTCGCTGGATTTCTTTTTTTCTTTTTTCTTCTTCTACTGTGCTGCTGGATGATGGACTGTGGAACTGGGATAGGATAGTGAGGATTTTTAATAATTGTTTCTTTTCACCTGTTTATTTTTTATCTTCTACTTTTACTTTGGCTTTCTTTCTGGGTTTGGTGTGTGCTTGTGTAGACATATTATCGAAACTGAAACCTGGCTGCAGAGAGGGATGGTTTTCTCGCCCTAGTCGAGCATTATTTGAGATTGTCTGTTCTCTGTGCTTGGGTCGCTTTCTTCACCTGCAAGTGAACCAAACCAATATGTAAACCGTCATGAGCTCCAATAATCCAATCCCCCCACCAAAGAGTTTCGGCCACCACTCGCCGTGCCAAGTCAACTAGGACCCCATGATGCATCCATACTAACCTGGTCGTGCCACGCCCGCGGATCGATGTCACCAGCGGCTGTTACACACAGTGCCTGTGTCGAGGATGAGGCAGAGTTGGAACTGGGAAGGTATGGTATGCCTTGTCCTACGCCTTTCTTGGTTCATCCCCAGCCTGGGATTCTTCCTTGATTAAATATATTCGAAGCAACAATTAACTGTCTTTATAATTTACATGTTGTTCCGACTAGACTTCCATCCCCGCAAACGACCACCTAGCTATATTCATCAATTTCGTCATGCGATACCAGCAAATTCTACTTCACCCCCCAATCGGAGCACTATCCCCCAGGACCTCCCTCAGTGCTACCAAATATTTCAATCTCGCGTTTCTGTGAGTTTTCCACTCACAAGGCCCAGGCCTATCCCAGGCCTAACCCAAACCCAGTCCCACCCCTGCCCATCCCGCCGATCACCCCCCCCCCCCCAAAACACAGTAACCGCACCGCTCCATTAACATTCACAATTATTAGGGGGGGTATCACATTATCTAATTAGTTCGAGTAGGAATACGAGGAACAATTAACAACTTTCTTCTTCCTCTGTCATCTCCGCCAAAAAGCAAACGCGACTAGCAAGTTGCACTTGCTATGTCGCCCAGACTCGCCCTTGCGGATTAACGCACCTTGATCGTGCGTGCGTGCAGATCGCTAACTAGCTGAGCTGGGCGCGCTAACTCGGCTAATTAAAACCGTCAACTCTAAAGCGACGGCCATGTCTGAGTTTGAGTGTGAGGGAGGGAAGGTGGGGGGGGCTTCCGAGCTTCCGCGAAGGTGCTGGTAGCGTGGTAGTGGTAAGGGTGTCGAGAGACTACATACGATGCAGCTGGCGATATAAATGGACATAATCTAGGTAGAGAGAGTCTGTCAAAGTCATGCATCATCACTCGCACGCATTCTATGGTTGGCGGGATTTGTGGCGCGCTCGGAAGAGCATGGATCGTGACACGGTGCGCGAGAACGTTAATCACGCGACGGAGGGGTGTGAGTCAGTAGAGCAGATACACACTCTAAATGTCTCGTCCATGCTAGCAAGAATCAGGAACCTCCCAAACCTACATGTAGCTTTGGTAGTTCAGAGATGGTCAACTGAGTTGAAATCAACTACTACTACAGTCGGAACGCAACGATATCGATCAGCGCCTCAGAAAGCCTCTCCAGGCGAACACCAAACCAGTCAGCCAATGGCAGCCAGTGCTTTAAATTCGGCTGGACCACTGCTACTATTAACCTCCTATTCAGTCCTCAACTCAAAACGTCCACCGGCTCGGCCAACCCGAGAAACGTCCAAAGGCAGAAGGTGGTAATGATACTCGATGCCCAAGACAGTTAGCCCATCCCAGGTTCCTCCAGAAATTCCATGATCCCGGCAACACTCTAAATACAAATGTTACACGGCCAGCATACAGAACGGGCATCATGGACCAATTGATGGATGGCCAAGGGGGTTTCGATTTCATCTCTGCCCGGACGAAGACTCATACTCTAATCACGAAAGGCACAGACAGAACAGGCAAAACCGTCCTGGCTACTTCTCTAAACGGCTTCCCTGCATTGCCCTGCATCATGGTATTAGGGGTATGGTGGTGTAACTAGCTTGGTCGATATCGCATCACAAAAACACCCTCAAACAAGTCAAGCCAAAACATGGAATGTCATCAAGCAAAACCCATTAATTAATTGTATTACAAAACCCCATTACCAACCGTTAAAAAAAAAGAGAGAGACAAGTATTTACAGCGCATACATGCCCAACCCCACCGCCATTGCCCCCGCGGCGACCATCTTCCCCGGCCCGACTGCCAGGCACCCCGCCCCGCCCGTGACCAGCGCGCAGTTATTTGCCACATCCTTGACGGCCGAGTCCTTATCATCGCTCGTCATGCCTTCGTTGGCCACCGAGCAGGACAGACATCTGTACATCACCGCCGGTCAGTACGCGTCTACGTACAGTACCACACAAGCTCTGCCACGAGCGGATGGGGGGAACAAACGATTTGTACTGTGACTGGAAGCTGTCGGTGTTACACAAGCACTTCCACTGGGCCGCTGTGGGTTCGGTGGTGTCGTCGTCGACGATATTGTAGCCGCAGCTGTTGGTGCTATCCACGAGGGAGAGGCAGTTTCCGCAGTCGCCCGAGACGGAGGCGGGGCTGGGAAACGCGATGGCCGTGATGGCGGTGGTGAAGAGTGACAGGCTGAGGGTGAGGATGGCTGAGAAACGCATTTTGAGGAGGGTAGATGGAGTTATGATGGGTGGTTGTGGTGGGTGTTTAATTTCTGAGGGAGGAGATTATGAGGATCACGGCGGTGAGCGAGTGAGAGGGAATAGAGTTGGGAACAGGTCGTGTTTATACATCCAAGCCCTGTCAATTTCACAGCCTAAGTATCCCCAAAAAGAGCCTCTTTCTCTCTGTCTCTCTGTTTGTATCTGCTTTAATCTTAAGTTTATTGTTATGTTGACTCTCTCCTATATTAATTACCAGTGTGCCTAATTAGAATACTCGTACAAGCGGCACAGTTACACAGATATTACACCGTGATACAGGCAGTAAAGGGTACCCATGCCCGCCCTAATCAAGCCATTCTCCCCAACTCCCCCGTAGATCTCCAACCTCCGCGGTTAGAATATTTTGTTATGTCCACCTAGTTGGCTACGCCGCAAGGCGGATTGAGAGTTAGAAGCCATCGTTGGCAGAGGGGGGATAGCCATATCTAGGGGTGTCCCCCTAGCCTCTGCCTACATTTACTAGTTGATTGATAAATGCTATCGCGAGGGAACGTTACACAGACCAGTCGGGTTATTGTGTGGGTCGACTCGGTACAACGGAACACTGGCACTGCATGGGTGCATGCATGACGTCGGAACGAACGGCGGCGGTTTTTTGAGATCATAGTGGGGTTGTTCTGGAAGAAGTACCGACCTCTGGGCAGCAGGTGCTCAAGCAGCCCACGATCGGGTGTTTGCGTCCAAGGAGAGACAATGCCCCTCTTGGCCGATATGATCTGCTCAACGGTTTGTGGGACCTTCTTGTATGGGTATATGTATCGTGTCTTCTAGATCTGTATACACTCTGATCACAAGTATTAGCACAGCCCCACAAAGAGTAAAGTATACTTCTCACAGCTATTTTGAGAGGAAACACATACCCGCCGAAATGTGCGAAGCTTTGAACCTGCTACCATACGGGACTCCTCCTTCTTGAAGCTCCATAAACTCTGAATCCCTTGTGGCCGGAAGTGCAGAATCTTGAGCAATGACGACTTTAAACTTGAGACCAAAATATCATTGACCAGAAGTTAATGTAGTCGTGGGAGCTGATTTCACGGGGCAAGTTTATGGCAATGCAAGGTTCGTGGCAGTGCTCCTCTTCTATGATTAACCTGCTAGAAAGATATGGTCGAATCGTAGCGTGCTTGACGGATATCGCCGGGGCTGTCTCGGTGGGGTAACTACACGTATCAACGGCATGTTGTTGCCATCTCACATGTTAGACATATCTCCCGCCTTGCCAAAACTTTTCCTCTTCGACTCCGAAGCACCAGATCCCAGGTAGACAAAAGCGCCCAATCTGCTTAACACCGGCACGGCCACAGAATCATTCCTCTCTCTCTTCCGGATCCCCAAAATGCGCGTTTGGTAACATTTCCATGATAAACTGGTAAGACGTGGTCTATTGTAAAGGACAAAGTCTTGTTTAGAGAAGCCTGGGTATCTAGTATATGATTTACCATCGCACAACGATTTCATTGTAAAGTGGTGGAATCAAATTACATAGCATTGGAGTTGAGGTCTGAAGAAATGTCAGGGCTAGGGTTGTCCGTAGGGTTAGGGTAGTATATTTTTCCGTAGTCTTTTAGAACAATGTACGTACAACGCGCGTGGAAGTGGACTTTTCTTGGTCGAAAGGATATCCTTCGTGGCGGAACTCTGTGGTGAGAGTGCCAAGATGCTTGGACACTGTCTGCATAGGTTACAATTGGCTTTTAGCTCTATAATCCACTTTGTCAATCAATTTATGGGTCGAGTTGTACTACTTTAAAGGTTGGTAAAGTTCTAGAGGGACTTATTAGCATGCTACTTGACTGCATGCAGGTATGTGGCGATGTTGCGTTTTACGGTATTTCCAGCAGCATGTGGAGTCAACTTGGTATTCTAACACAATCCCGCATTACCAATGGTGTGAATTACATCGCATTTTCCCGTATCGTGGTGTCATATCTTGCGTAGTCTGGGTTAAATTTGATTGGGTGGTATTCTAACCTATGAACCGCACGAGTCTCAAAGTTGAGAGTATGGTGAAAAATTCGCTTTCCGGTCATGATAGATCACTCGCTAAATGATAATCTTGAAGCATATCAGCATTAATTCAGGATCTCCGGGTCGCGGGAGCTAGAATCAGTATCTGGAACTTATATATCTTCTTCTAGGAATGTCTCAAATGTGGCAACGTTCATGTCTCTCCTGCCATGAGTTATCAAGTCCTCATATGATTCAGGATCGACAAGGAGGGCAAATTACCAAAACGGATCCGGAAAGATTTAAAATCACCGCGTATGGAACATTCACAGTCATGTTTCTCTTTGTCGCAGGAGCCGCTTTGGCATCCACCCGTTATTGTGAATCACAGGACCGAGCCCGGCAATTACTAATTTATTTTGTCGCGCTTATTTCCCGCCGAATTTTAATACAAAACAGAGTGTTTTCATCCCCAAAGCACCAAAGACGTGCGGATGTCTTGACTCGTTCTCTAACAATGTGTCCAATAGGAAGTACATGTATCGGGCTTTATAATAATCTAGCGATCCATCTTTTGGTGGGCTACTCTTATCTCAATTACGTTTAAAACCTGACATGTTTGGCTTGATTTCTCGATTTCTTTTAATGAGGCGAAAAAAATCAATGTCGTTTGTAAGTCACGTTATCGCTCTGTACTTTGTAGCTATCTGCAAAAACACTCTATAAAAAACAAGAAAAACCCACCTAGACAAAAAGAAACCCTAACCCACCACCAATGGCTCCAACTGTAGCTTCGCCGGCCCTTGTCACAAAAGAAATTGAAGCGAGGAAACCGATGATTGACCCATTTTTCCAGTTGAAAAAGAATTTAAATCTAGGAGAACAGGCCAGGCGACTTGGAGGATATTTATGGGTGTGCTGCTATGGGCAACGAGCAGTACTACGGAGTCTAGGGGCCCGAGGTGGGGGAACTGAATATGCATATTTAAAGCGACAAAGACATGCCAAGACGTCTTTATTTTGGCCGCTCTCTATCAGGATAAGCCGGTAATTCTTGAAAGGAGTTGAAATCGAAACTCTAGGATCAGGAAGAACAGCTCGACTCCGCTTGTGATAAAAAGCTACTCGGCTTGAGTCGACTTGTAAAGGCTCGAGTGGCTCGAGTAATGCTCATGATTTCTACTGGCCTCATATATCACTCCCGAAGTCATTCTAGATCTATTTGTGAATATATTCTGTTGGGTTAGGGTTTAATCTCGAATTCAATGACCAAGGGTATTACCGGCAGCAGGGCTAACAAAGGGTAGGGATATGTAGAGGGATAAGATCCAAAAATCTCGAGCTTTTCAAGTCGAGTAGTGGAAAAAAGCTCGAGATTACATGTCTCATGCTGCGAAATGATGCGGGGAAAAAAGTAAAATATCTCCGTAAAAGTTAGAGAAATACTAAAGCTTTCATGACTAACTGTAATAAATCTATCTTTTTACGTTAATTACGCAAGTCAGATCAATATTGACGGAGTTATTCGAATTTTAGTAATCATCTGAATAACCGTGATTGTGGGTGGTATCGTCCCATCGTCAAGAGGGTATTTTGGAGGTCCAGCATTTAGTTCTACGAGCCATTTATGGCCCTCTTTCTCTATTCTTATAAGTTAGTATGTAACAAATAATCACGCAGTGTATCGCTTCAATAATGCGGGAAAAGGTGATGAGCAGGATAGATTGTACCTTTCCCACCAGCCTCCAAAACCATCCGAGCCATAATCTTGAACTGTGGAATTTCGGAACCTCTTCGGAGTACAGCATCTAGTAAGATACAACTGACATGCTAGAAAACAATTAGTAAATCAATGAACGGGTAAGCATCTTGAAGCTCTCAATAGAAAGCCGGTGATGTTCCCGTCACATTTTATCACTCGATTCAACTTCCCAATGACGGCAATGAAGAACAGTGCCTAAAAGGGCTACGGCAGATCCAAGTAGAAAAAAAAAAAAAAGAAAGGTTAACTCCTACGTCCGCACTCTGTTATTGCTTTGGCGGCGGCTGGTGCTCATTTCGGATTTTCTCACAAGCGTTACGAATGCTGCCGATTCCCAACGAGCTCCTGAGGCATCTTTAGTATCCATTTAGAGAAATTCTCAGGTTGAAAAACTATGTGGCTTTGGTCCTCAGAATAGGAGTGAACCTTTGGTTCAGTTGATATCGGACGTGAGAGAGGGGCTCGGGATAGCCGGGGAATATGCTACGGTTGTTAATTGCGAGAATTTAATTCGGGGGGAGACCCTACACAGACCCGTGTCTCTCCATCTGCAGATAGGTTAGAAATACCGAAGAGATTTGGCGATTTCATAGCTATAGCCCTATGATGGCATACTTGGCTTTATTTCAAGGATTTTAGTGGACCTCCGGCCCGGGTACCTAGATTTTTAATTTCGCTCAGTGATAAGAACAGATTTTGACTTTATCGATGGGAAGGTGAACAGAGGATGCACACTAGCTAGCTCGGTATACTAGCCTGACAGAGCCTCTCTTCGAGCCTGGACGATCTGCAGCGGAGAAGGAGCAGGGAAAGCTTTCGTCGTAATATATTGCCGGAGTTGGTATACCTCTGGGTCGAGAGCACCTGCATAGATTCACCTTCTCAAGAGTTATTTGTAGATCTTCACTCCCAAACTGTAGCCACAAACTTGCGGAACACCTAGCTTCCGTTGAAAGGCTGTGCGTAGCTTGGATTCGCAGGCTTCTCCTCCGCTTGTAGAGAAGGCCAACCGAAGAGCTCCAATCTCAGAACAAAGATCATCACCCAGTAACAGAGCTGCGAGCGTCCAACGCCTCACTGGTGGATCATGGTCGGCAGAAAAATAAAAGGTTGAGCTCAAGCGTTGCGAGGGTGTTGTTGCTACTGCCCTATAGCTATCGATGGGGAAGAAACCACCTTTACCTATGTGTCGTTTTTGCAGTTTTAATTTTCCCCCAGGAAAAATCCGCATAGTGGCCTTAAGGCCCTTAACTCATCGCCAAATGAAATCTTCTACGGTCCATTTGTACACGAGCCGTACACGACCATTCAAACAACCAACGCTACTTCCTCTATGAACTTGACCTCAATAAGGACACAACAACAATTCCATCTCCGCGACACCTCATGCAGGATCCCAGACATTCATTACCAGCGGGCTCTCCTCCGATTCTCTAGGATCTCATGTCAATCTTCCGCCCTTGAGTTTAGATCAATAGAAAGAGAACGGCAAACCAGGCTCTTTGATTTGGTAGGCGCATTTCTTGTTTTAACTCTTGGTCCCTGGGCGATGCCGAGGGACCGGAAGCGGGTGGGGTTCTTGTCTCGACGGTTTGAGGTACTTTACTTCTTGATGCCCTGGCGGCGGTGGGGGAGGGAGTTGAGAATATTGGTTCTGCCTTTGGATACTTGGCTTGAATTTACGGCGCTGGACGCAGGGCATCATGGGTCTGGGATCCTCATGCTTCATTGGGGCCCTCGTCCACCGTGGAATGGACGGATATAAATTAAGGAACACAGTACGCAGAGCACAGTTGTCTTGAAGGGGGTTAGCATATACCGTTTCAACACTTCCGAGCGCAGCACACTTCTGTTTCAGGCATGGAAGACCTAGGATCGGAAGTTTTAATGATTATCTTCTTGAATCATCTACGCAGTACACACCAGCAACATGCAGATTTTGCAATATTGCACACATGCAGAAAAGCAAAACACCTTTACCAGAACCCCCTCGAAGCATGCAAATCGATCATCAAAGAACAAAACGTAAAACAAAATTAAAAGCATGGCGGAAAACAGTTATAAACGCAAACACCTGCGTTTACATCACAAATCCTCCTCCTCTCCTCCCTGCTCGTCATCCCACTCTTCATTCTCCTCTGCCTCCCGCTGTCTCTCCGCCTGCCCCTCCCTCATCATCAGCACCCTCTCCTGCTGCTTCATCTCCTCCACCACGCGATGGTAGTCCTCCTCCAGCCTCATGCTCTCGTCATGGTACGCCTGCACCTCGCGCTGGGAGTTCAGCACCACCGCCACCATGCGCAGATACAGCGGCGTGTCCCAGAAGCCCTTCTGCTGGGCGCCCAGCGCATCGATCTTGTCGTTGTGCTGCTCGGCGTCCGAGATGAGCACCGAGAGGCGCTGGGCCCGCTCGGAGTTTGCGCTGAAGAAGGCGTGCTGGTGGTCGCGGGCGTGGGCGCGGAGGGCGACGAGGCGCTCGGTGGGTGTTTGTGGGGTGTCTGTAGTGGTTGTGGTGGGTGTGGTGGTGGTGGTGGGGGTAGTTGTGTCCATGATTGCTGCGAATGTAGTAGTTTGTTAGGATAACGTTGGTGCAAGGTCGAGATCTGTAGATCTAGGTACTAGGTGGGTGACTGAGGGATGGACGGGTGCAAGAGGACCAACTCACCAGATAGCGAGAAGCCGCGGAGGGCGTTATATAGCCTGACGACGAGGTGGAGGTTTTCAAGCGCACCGCCGACCATTGTATTTGCATCTTCAACCGTACCTGCATCGTGTGATGGGGATTTCAAGAGGCAGCGTGGGACCGAGTGATTCCGTGTGACCCGCACGCCGTACCCACTACCTGGCGCAACAGCTGCCCACATGGCTAGAAGCACTACCACCACCACCACGCCTATCTTGAAAAGAAGGCCAAGTATTTCTATTTTGCATTTCCTTCAAATTTGTTCCCGTGCGTTCCTGTTTCCATTTCTACTTTCCCCGTCCGTTTCTATACCGCGAACGCCCTCGAGGCTGCCAGCCAGATGCGTGTTGAAGCGGATGACTCGAAGCCAATGATCGCAGCCACAACTAGCTACAGAGTTACGGCCGTACCAGCGATAACGGCTCGCCAATTAAGCAGCAGCACACCCGCCCTCGTGGTCAGCGATGCCTTGGTCTGACTGGCTCGCCCGGGGGACTGCATAGAATGCAGGGAGTAGCTGTCGACTCGCATGGGAGGGGGGTGCTACTACAGAGCGAGTCGACATGGAGAGCCTAGCTAGAGCTGTGAATGTACCGCTCGAGAGCCGTCTGCCTGCACGTGAAGAGAAGATAGTCTTGATTTCCGTGCCTGTGCCTGTGCCTGTGCCTGTGCCACTGTAGATAGCCGGGGAATGGCGCACTCTTCGGTGCAGATGTCTAACGTTCTGTACCTGTGCTGCCATGTATAATTATAACCCATGGCCACACCGCAGAGGACAGCACAGCGATAGCAATCAGACCCAAGACGGAGAGTCCTCGCGCTTCCCCGCGCAGATCCGATGCATCTCCATCTCCATCTCCCTGGCGCTGTCCCAGTTGTAGCTCGATTTCCCCAGGCGAATCGGACCCGTACGTACATCTCTGCCTCTCCCTCTCCCTCTCCCTCCCCCATAGATCTCCCCCCCACCACACACACAGCTCCCTCTCCCCCCCCCCATATATCTATACCTATCCAAACAACCCCCCTCCCCCCCCTCCCCCGTGCTCGATTCAACCGAGATCCCGAATACCCTCCTCTCCCGTGCGCTGTGCAGCTCTGGCTGTCTCTCGCCACACTCGGCCAGGGTTAGGGCTCCGGGCCATCTCAGACATGCACCCGGAGGAGGGGCGATGCACAGGATGCGGTGTGTGTCTTCCCCGCTCTCTGCCCCTCAACACCAACGCCATATCTCTCTCGATCTCTCTCTATCGCTCCATCACCATCTCTGCCCCTATTCGCATATCCACATACTCCTTTTCAGAGCTCTTGACATATATAGAGAGATAGACAGCTGCTGTATCGACGCTTACCGAGACGGAGAGCTCTCTAGCTAGCTACATCCAGATCTGCACACACAGCTCCACCCCCCCCCCCACAGCTATCTACTCCCACCACGATGCTCCCCCACTCCGCCGACCCGGGCCTGCCTCCCCCCTCGTCGACCGCCTCCTTCTGGCACACGGAGCCCTCCCCCTTCCTGCACAACCACCGCACAACGCCCACCGTCCCCACCGACGCCGACATCGTCATCATCGGGTCCGGGCTCGCCGGCGCCACCACCGCCCGCTACCTCTACGAGTCCGCCTCTACCGCCTCTACCGCCGCCGCCGCCGTCGTCATGCTCGAGGCGCGCCAGGCCTGCTGGGGCGCCACCGGCCGCAACGGCGGCCACTGCAAGGCCTCGCTGTACACGCTGTCGCGCCTCCCGGAGCTCGCAACAACGCTGGGCTACGACCAGCTCACGAAGCTCATGGCGTTCCAGCAGCTCAACGTGGGTCTGGTCACCGAGTACGTGCGCGGCGAGGCCGTGGACTGCGACTTCAAGGCCATGGACAGCTGCGACGCCTTCTTCACGGAGCACAACTTCCGCGCCGCGCGGGAGAGCATCGATGTGCTGCGCAAGCGCATGCCGGAGTACTCGGGGCGGCTGCGGGTCGTGACGCGCGACACCACGGAGGGGCGGAGGATCCTCGCGCAGGAGACGAGGACGCCGACGGCCGTGGGAGCGGTGCTGTCGAGCGCGGCCTGCCTCTGGCCGTACAAGCTGGTGGCGCACATGCTGGAGCGCGCGGTGGGCGAGCGCGGGATGAACCTGCAGACGTGCACGCCGGCGCTGTCGGTGGTGCGGAACACGGCGCCGGGGAGTGCGCGCAAGTGGACGGTCATCACGGCGCGCGGGAACATCAACACGGACAAGGTCGTGTTTGCCACGAATGCCCACACGGCTCACCTCCTCCCCGCGTTCAAGGGCCACATCTACCCCGTGCGCGGGCAGATGTCGGCCCTGGTCCCGCCAAAGTCGATGATTGACCGCCCGCTCACGCACACTTACCGCCTGGTGGGCAAGGACGGCATGATGGACCAGTACCTCATCCAGCGGCCCATCCAGCCCGACGGCTCCGGCGGCGAGCTCATGCTCGGCGGGGGGCGCTCCCTCGCGGCCGGCTTCGGCGAGGGCCGCATGGACGGCGCCATCGACCCCCCCGTCGCCCGCTACCTGCGTCGAGCACCAGCCGAGTTCTTCGCCGGCGAGACCGGCTTCCCCGGTGAGGCCGTCGTCGGCGGCCTCGAGAAGAGCCTCGTCAGTAGGTTCCGCCGCCTCACCATCGACGCGGTGGTGGGCAGCCAGCTGCGCTTTTGGGATGCAGCGGAGGGGATCGGATGTGATGATGGCGAGGAGGACTCGGACTCGGGGTCGGAGTATGATGACGACAACTCGGAGAGCATCACGCAGGACTCGCAGGGGAGCCGCGAGTGCGTGGCGAAGTATGAGTGGTCGGGCGTGATGGGCTTTAGCAGTGATGAGATGCCGTGGGTTGGGAAGGTGCCGGCGCTGACGGCGGAGGAGGCGCGGGCCCGCGGGCTGGAGGGACGGGAGGCGGTGATGGAGACGGAGGGGCTGTGGATGCTGGCGGGCTTTGAGGGGCATGGTGGGTTTTCTGCACTCTCAACATTGTAAATTCCGACTCGATTACTGACTCTGTGGGTATATAGGAATGGCCTACTGTACGGGGGCCGCAAAGGCGCTGGTGCAGATGATGGCCGGCAAGCAGCCATACGACTTCTTCCCCGAGTGTCTCGAGGCCTCACGGCAGCGCATGGGTCTCGCGCCAGAAGAGGACTCGGAGTCCGACGAGGAGGAGGTCGACGCCGAGGAGGAAGTGGAGGAGGAGGTCGATATCGACGAGAGCAAGGTCGACATCAGGTGGGAGGACCTGGAGAAGGATGAGGAGAGCGAGTGGGTCGTTGTTTGATATCTGTAACGTAGCGTTTGTGTTTTTCTCTTTTTTTTTTCTTTTTCTTCTCTCGTTTGTCTTGTCCTCTTTTTCTTTTATGGCTGTTGGTTGGTTTATACTAGCGGGTGGGAAGTGTAACTATGGGGGGGGGGGGGGGGGCGGACCGGGCTGTATATGGCGTGGGAGCGAATGCATGGCGTGTATTCTGTAAATCTTATACGGTGTGATCTGATATCTAGGAGTGCATGATGTGAAGATGCTGCCAAAAATAAGGCTGTTGATATCCAACTTGATTTCGGAATATATATGAATTTGGAAATTAAATATAGAAATCTGCAATTTTTTGAGACAAGATACTTTTATCGTTGCAACGCTGATGAAATGATGACACTTAAGGCCGACAAAAGAGAGAGGAGAAAGATCTAAAGAGGTCAAGGAAAGGTCCAACTACATATAAGGATGTACGGGACCGATCCCCCATAGGCCCCCCTTCCTATGTCACCCCACCACTTCCGCCTCCGCTGCTAAATATAACGCATATATTGTCACTCTCACTCTTCTCATATATACCTAATAACCAAGCTTTCCATGACCTGCATCTGAATCTATGCAAACATACAAGCTTCCGGATACCGGCTTCAATTTTACCAGGAGTAGATCAGTTAAAGAATACATTCCTCCATTTTCCCAGACCGCAGCCTGTGGGTTTGAACACCCATACTCAATAGGAACAGAACCAACAGTGAACAGAGGCCTATGACTGCTCCTCCCCGAACCACAACCGCCAGTACCAGAATGTGTTGAACTACATATCGATTATTAATTAGCTCAGTCAGGACTGAGCGAGGTGCTTTAGCTGAGAGAAACTCACATGAGCGTCCGATCGGGTCAAGTCTTCGACATTAGCTGCGGTCGATCTGTCTTTATCTTTCCTATCTTCTCCTGAGCCTTAAAATGCAATGTACTGTCGCCCTACCTTCAATTTTTCATCATCTTCCTATTCTCTCTATATATCTAACAACCAACCGTTCCGTGACCTACAACGGCCAAGCCTTCACAAACATAGATTTAGAATCTCCCTCTTTCTATAAATATGACGCCCATCTACCTCCTTAATAGTAGTACTCAGTTCACGCTAGTGTTCTCCATGAGACGAGACGTCTTGAAGTCTTGTCTCGAGACTCTTGCCTCGAACAGCTCGACACCAAATATTTTTGCTCTCGAGACCGGCTTGAAATCTGCCAAGATATACTAGTGACCATAGGTGTTAGGGACAAAATGGTATCCCTTAAGCTGTCAGGCCGAATTGAAATGGCAGCTGTTAACCACATTCAGTAAACATTGGAGATATATAGTACGATCTGCCATGTATTTGATAAGCAGCTGGCGTGACGGTATGACTGAGACCAGCGTTCAATCCATCGTCTTTACTGAATGTGGTTAACAGCTGCCTTTTCAATTCGGCCTGACGGCTTAAGGGATAGCATATCATCGATGTAAGTTCTCCCCTGTCGATCCTGCACCATGTGGGCCACTCCCGGGAAATACATAGACGTCAACTGACGTTTGTTACAGGTTTATCGAGTAGAAGTTGAGCAGCTAAACCAGGAAATAGGTAAGATCTCAATAGACATTACTACACAAAGCTTCTTGTTGCATGCGGCCCTGGCTCACAACTACTCACTCGATTTTCTCAAGCCTGTCTCGGGACGGGCAAGACGAGACGAGACCGGCCCCCTCATTTGACAAGACGAGACAAGACTGGGTCTTAGTCTCGTCTCGAACGGTGTCGTGGAGAACACTAATTCACGCCACTCCTACCGCTCCGTCAACTCCTCCAAGCGCCACCGGCCTCAACGTGCAACCCCGGCCCACGTTCCTCTCGGATGGCACTACAAGTAATCAACCACACCACGCCTCTTCCACAGTGTAAACGATCTAGAGCTAGCAAGGGGTCATATCTAGTCGCTGCACAACTATATATCGCAACGGCCACCACAAAAGAGAGACAGTCAATGCCGGCCACAAAACCTCACAGCTTCTAGCTCTTGATTCCGGAGGTGGCCGTAACGATAATTAACTAGGAGTCTTAGCGGGGGTCGGGGCGGGTCACTGGCTAGCTAGGGGATATACATCTGGTCCGGAGGTTTAAAGCGAAGAGTGCTGATTGTGGTTTTGATGGGCCATGGGGAGAGGTAGTACTAGCTTATTCTCCTGCGGAGAAACCTGTTATGGTTCAAATGCCACAAAAATTTAAGTATCGGCCGCAACCTCTAACGTCCTTAGACGCGTTTAGCACTAACACCTACGAGCTGGTTTCAGCGTGCAGCTAGCTACATATATATCTACGACTACTTCACTGCCGGGCTCAGTCCGGAGCAGCGATATATTTGGTCTTGGAGGCGTAGGCACTAATATGTGCGTACATATACAGAAGAAATCTCTGCGATATTTGTATATTCTAGGCCCCGCTAATTATTTCAAGTAAACAAAAGATTACCTCCCCACCAATCGACAACGTTCTTTGGGGTTTTAAAAGAGCGGTTTGGACTCTATTTGCTGTCCATACAATACTCAAGGAACACCGCCGTGGTCGCCTGTATGCATACTTCATATCGGCCTATACATTAGGACGTAACGTTTATTAATAAAGAAAATTTACATTATCTTGAGGGATAATGATTGGCCGTACAGGTTATCATCTATTGCTTTGCGTGACAGTTAACGGCAATAGTGATGGTATTATGTGAGTTGATAATTTGATCCTGACGGGAAAACGGGGAGAGTGGTTTCGACCGCCGGTGGAATTAAGGCGGGAAACATCCAAGAAAAAGACAAGATGGGCTATCGATGTCCATAGCTAAGGTGGTATAAAATCAGTGTCCAGCATCGACTTTTCCGGTCTTCTCGACGATACCAGCCCTTGATGTTGTCTCGTCAGCCACACTGGCTCGAGTGAATCGAGTGACTGGTTGTGCGCCAAGCCTCGTGAGCTCAAAAAGAGGGTTTTTCAAGAAGTCTTAATATCGAGATGAAAATCCTGCTGCAAATTTCAAAGTATCTTTCACTCTCATGAAGAAAACCCCATTGTAGGCCTATAGTCGGGAGTCCGGTGGTGGATTTCTAACCAATTAACGGTCCTCCTACTAACCCATTTTTTGAAGTGATTCCAAGTGATTCCAAGTGATTCCAAGTCAAAAAGACTTAGTCAAGACACGTAAGCTTCTCTTATAAATTCACTTCACTTCGATCTTCAAGCTCGATCATTGCTGATCCGGACGATTAATGCGGAAACAATTGTTGTGACCAAGGTAGAGGATAAAATATAGTTGTGACATCTCGAGAATAAAGAGAAGCACAGTATTCGATTAGATGTACATGATGTGGCATCCAAGGTTTAAATAACTCAAATCGATCACGTTATAGTCTTTTGTCTTATCGTATCTCAAACGGGGAAATATGGTGGCCGGCCGCAGGGGAAATTCATGTTTCAGGCGCCGATTCTAGCCGGGTACTGACGGCACACAGTAACATAATGCGGGTACGTCACCTCTCCCACGATCATATCCCAATATTAATAACCAGATACGTGGGTTGCAAATCGACCACGCAATAGTCACTAGGCCGCCGGATTAGCATAGAAGAACATGTTGGCCAGTCCATGGGGGTCATACAGACGAGACAAGAACAAATTTGACATAAAAGTACTTCTCCTTCTAATCCGAAACCCTACAACAGAGTAGATGTGCAGGAGTGAAATCGACCTGATAGCTGCTGCCACGAAGCTTCCTAAGCGGCCCACGCGCATTAAGCGCGGGTGTGTAGGCCAAAAAAACCGAAAAGTGCCGAGATTTGAGCGCAGAATGAGATCGAGAGGGGAAATGCCTGAATCTACGTATTATTTCGTTCCCCCCAGATCCTAGAAACTACCGAACAAAGCCAGAAAATAGATCCACCTCGAGAGAAGACCAAAGACGACACTAGCCTGAATCCGAAATTAGCCATGAGCACGCTGTTCTCGCTAAAAACGGGGCCGGACTAGTGTGGTCGATGAGATAAGTCCACTCTAATCACCAATGACGACCAAGGCTCGAGAGATCTCAGTTTCCCGACTTCGAAAGCACAATTATTTTTCCCTGCATATTCCCGCCAATATATCACAAAAGCAACCCTAGGAGACGGAATCCTAACCATCAGATAATCCTAACAGTTAGAATATAAAGAAATATTTAAATTTAAGATCTGGTGATTAAAACCTTGATATCTGAGACCACTCCAAAGCTGGAACCCGAATCCTGTGAGCATTGCCACGTCGAGTTGAATCGAGTAGGAATCACACGTCGAGTTTTCCTCCAGTTCGTCTCGAGCCGGCTCAGGGGCCGCTCTGGAGAAGACTTGTCATATTCGACTTATTATATCAGTATATCTCTCCTCGTCGAGGCCCTTAGTTTTGCCTAACGTCGGTAGCTCACGTAGCTCTACTGCCAAGACCGAGTGATAGAGCATGAGTGCAATGGTTCCATGCACTTTCTGCCCAATGTGAAATTAATTCCTAGTCGAAAATAGTATACATTCCGAAGTCACTCAGCGCGGTATTGTACGTATCAAAGAACTAGGGTTAAGAGGCTGTTTTACATTCAGTTCCGGTATCCGAGCAAGGAGAGGAAAGGTGGTTAATTCCGGCTGCAACATTCAGGAGTTATACAGAAAGAAGTGATTGAGAGCTCAAAGTGAACAATTGCCAAATCCTAGCTCTCTCCTAGCACATAATGCTGTCGGTAATTCGAGGCTGATGGCTGATTTTGGGAGAGACCCCTCAGCCTTCCCGTGCGGGTTTTGATTGCTATAGCATGTATACTCGTATACGTAGGTAAAGTTCCAGCAGGATTAAATGGGTGATCGACGTGACATCAGTACAGTGGAATCCCTCTCATTAAAAAAATTAAAGTTTGTGATTTACCCGCTCGAGAACGTGGAACCCTGTAAGTTTGGCAGAAAAGGCCACACTTTGATATGACGTCTATCCCAAATTAACCCCTCCTCTTTCCCTCACGTCTACATGTCGCTCTCCCATCATGCGTTCATCAGTCATTCCTTCTCTACGCCATATTCCTCATTGCCACTGCCATTCATGCATCCCGGCTCCCCGCTAAGCTTGCCCGCCATTCGCCACCAATGCCTATACCACGCAATAGCCACATATTTCTAGATATCCTGACATATTATAGACCGCAGGTTTTCATAATATAGCCCTCTCCTGGGATACTGGACTCCAATCATAGCATGGACTCACCTGCCCCGAAATGAAGTAGTCAATCAATCAATCAAACTCACCTGTCCCGAGCCCTTTTGCGAGTGATGACTTATGATGCTGACGAAATTCTCGTCGCCTCTTTTAACTCTCTCACACCTTCCCTCGTCTTGAAGTCCTCTAATTTGCAGTAAGATAACATTATCCCTAGAATTCGCCATTTCCAGAAAAAAGAAGAAGGATACTCGGATTTATTTTAAAGAGCGGGAAGCCCGTTTACAGCTTTAACGGCCTTACCACTCGCGGATCAATACCAGTTCCCCACTCACCCTCGATTTACGTCGGGGCGGTAGCCGTTCAGGACGAGTCGCTTCGACTCTATTCGGATTATGAGGCAGATAGAAGCACTTTAGTCCATCGCCGGTACTGATTGCGGCTGTCAGTTTTGGCCGGTTACTATTTTTGCGTATTAGTTTCAATAGGGCTTTGGGTGCTAAGCTACTGGTATCTAGTTGTATCTGGCTTACCGATTTCTCTCCGCTTTACAGAATCCTAGCAAATTCAGCAAACAAGCTAAGGGAAGAGCTGTGCTCGCAAATCTACAATCTATCTACACCTCTTTAATTTACCATATGGGTTGTTCCTAAATTAGGATTGTGATTGTGCCTAGAGCACGATGGTTCGCGGGATTTCTTTGATAAGTGACGAGAGTTTATGTAAAGAGATGATTAGGAGGTGTGAGAGAAAGTAAGTAAATATCTCGTCTTCCTCATTTAGAACTCATGAAGTTCATTTAAACTTTAATTCTGTTGCAATAGAAGACATGCGAAAGCTTGGTATCGTATTTACTTTTTGACAGTCAAGTAAGGTACATACATACATGTCAATGCAGGGGAGGTTGGGCAGCAAGCGTCTATGCCATATGCACCCCCACGAGGTACATACATCAGCCTTATGGAACAATGTCCCATGTCAAGTAAGGGCTGGGATCGAGCCTTAGAGGCGAGCTACATTCTTTATCAGAGGACAGCCATTTCAAGTACTCAAAGTAGTGTGACTATCACCCACACCTACTCATTAAATTCATGCTCACGATCAAAGTTGTTTTCATAAAGAACTCTGTCGGCATCCATAGCCGCCCGCCTTATCCTGACCTCAGGTCAAGACCTCGATAGGATATCCTTGTATGTACGTATACAGGAGATGAAAGAAATGGAGTTTCTTAGTGCGAGACAAACCTACCTGGAGCATATAGGCAACACTGCCTTGGAAATTACATTGGTTTTTCCCACGAAGAGTCATGTGAAATCCTCGTACAGCTCGTAAAATAAGCGCTCAAGAGGCGAAAGAATGAGGTGTGAAGCGATGAGAATTTCCACAATATAAGCCCTCATATATGCACGGCATATCAGCCTCTTATCAAACGGAAGGCCAACGATCACCCGCAAAAGCCACCTGATGACGGCTATTATTCTCTCCGCGGATGGACGGCGGGGCGTCTAAATATCTTGATTATTTCAACAAAAGCAGAAAAGATTTCCGGCCACAAAAGCCACATAAACGCCCCCAAAAATGTTGGTGTCGGATGCCAGTATGTGATCTCGCAACCCCTGCCAACCTTGATCATCCTCGCTTGCCTCTGGAAGAAAGAATTCTCACGATTTCATGTGATAAGCAAGGGCGGTTAGAAGAAAGTTGAATACCTAGGTAGACACTCACTCTGAAAGCCATCCACAGGATCTACCACACCTGCCAAGGGGAACAGATATACAAACCCTAACCCTCCAGGAAACCTAGGTCACATACCATGCACTCGGCTGTTTTGGCTTCGAGTGCATATTTAATCGCATATTGGAAGTGCAGAAAGAAGTCTGAGAACTGTTCGGGAGATCCCGATTTCACGGTCGGCCCATTGGATGAACCCGTAGTTGGTTGGGCCAGGGTAATGATATCAGCAATTGTGTTTCTTAACGATCAAGATTGCAGGTGCACGTAGGACTGCATTCATGTATGATAGTCTAAACGCTGTAAAGGTGATAAGCGGGAGATGTAGCCGAAGAAAAGTGGGGAGCACGAATGTCCCATTATGCAATGCGAGACGGGTCGGTGGTAAGTACCGTGTTTCTGGTTTGGAAGAAGGAAGGACGTGACGTGACAATCTTTGGGGTGAGTCCGTGACAATAATAATGGGTCCTATATATAGACCCTGAATAGAAGCAAGGCAATCCCTGTCCGGATTTCTAGAAGTCGAATCAATCGGGGAGCAACAAATGTGGAAAGTGCAGAGAAGTGCAGAGAATTAATAATGGAGCTTGCGGTGTTTATTAATAGATCAGTGTTATCTGATTACTCACGAGCAATGAGACATATCTTGAAAACATCTGTCTTGTACGAACAAAGAAGCAAGCACTCAGTAGAGGCTTCTCGCTTGATAAAGAAAATACGTAACTGAAGTACCCGACGGCCTGGTAGGATCGAGAAGTTGTGACTGCTATTTTTCTCGTGATCATTCTTGTGGCTTTAGGTATACTCTAGTTCATTAGTCAATTGATCGGTTTGTCTAGGAAAAGAGAAGAAACCTGGAGTGAACAATAACTACCTATCATCGGGAATCTCGCTTTTTTAAAAAAAACCTTTAGTGCATAAACATGTTTCATTGTTTTGTAGCCCATGGCGACATTCGCGTTGAATCGAGTTGGAAATGATTTATTGGTGGTTTACCGAGATATCAACCATGTGAATGTGTCAGACTAGGTACCAATACCTACCTAGAGCTATGACCTAAATAAGTAGTTGGTAAAGTTCTAGACCGTTGGATTTTCTCTCGCTCTAGTTATACGGGCTAGGATATGATTCCGAGTGCCCTATAAAAATTCAGGATGAGATGAAACATAATTTTGTTGCAACCCATGCGATTTTATTGAAACACATGCTCTACCTATCCCTCTACATCAGAGATTTCATTAGTTAGTGAGGTAATCGTATCATGTGAGTATTTCTTACTACTGAATTTTTGAAATGGAAATGTAGTGAATGTACCTGTTGGCCTTTGGTGTAATTTTTTTTTCAGTTGTATTCAAGCAATAACTAAGCTAAGCAAGAGGTGATAATAAATATAAGTTAGTAATATTAGAAACTTAGCTGCCTATCAAATTAAAGCCTAAAAAGGAGATTAAAAGCACGAACTGGCTCTAATTCGTCTAGAGCCCATGATAAACAATTAGAAATATCAAATTTTGTTGTTTCATTGAGCGGAAACATTTGTTTGGGTTTATTTTCATAACTACGTATATGCAAATTACATATCATTAGCACGCCCCAAGAGCCGGTAACAAACACCCACCACAAATTACCGAGAGCGCAAGTAACTCAGCGCTTGTCGCTCTCTTGGTATCAGGACCCATTCCTTCGGATTTGTTAGTCTGATAATGACACTTGACGATACCCTAACATTCAAAATTTATCAGCATTAGTGCCATTTCCCCACTTGCGCTGTCTCAGATCCCACTAGGCTGCACCCCTCGCCGTCTAAGACAAGGACCATAAAATACCCTTACCACTTCAGGAAAATTGTTACATTACTACTCCCACGCCGCCCTGGCCACCCCTTGCATAAATAGGAGAAACCCTGATGCCGGTAACTGCAGCGCTTATATAATGCAATAGTAGACTCCCAATTCGGCCCGCCCAAATGTGCCTCTACGGCCCAGCGCCTGACTGGCAGCAAATTCCGGGGTTTACAGTCACTGTAATACCCGCGACCATGGAACCAGACAATGTGAAGCCGTGGTAGTGGTGCGCATGTGAAGGGTCACAATGTATCACTCGGGTGCCTAATCCCCTGTTGCTCTAGGGTTAGGGCTAGCCGCATGGCGAGGTGGTCGGTGTTAGGGGCGTGATGTGACGCTTATGATGCCCCAGTTTGCTATCGAAAATTTCAAGGGCAGGCCTGTTCCTGGGAGGGCTGCGCGATCGGGTGGCTGCAGGTGATCTTGGCGGGGGGAATGCGTGGGTGACCGATGAGATCTGATATCATTGTCTGCGAGGTGCCAGGGAGGGTGGGCTGGAATTTTAGGGAGGGAGGGCAGAACTGCAGTGGGGGTATGCTGGCGTGGGGAGCTAATATATATCTCGGGTGTGCAAAGGATTTTTTTTCGAGTCCAAAGGTACTGGATTCGAATCTCTATGGGGAGTGGAAAACGATACTATATTTTATATTACTCTATATATCAGCGAACAGATTCTGAAACAGGGTGTGCGGGTCTTTACCTGGTGGCATCTTGAAAATGGATAGCAACAGAGAAGCTCGGGCAGAACATTCTCAAGATGGTAACCCAAAGCGTCGGGTTCGATGTCGCGGGAGCCTACAGACACATCTTATTAGTGAAAATCACGGAGCTGAGGGAGGGGCTCCTGGATGTATGTATGTATGTATGAAGTATGTATGTACATGTTGGTATGTACTTGTACCTACATTGACATTTCCTAGGGGGAGAGGGAAATCAGATACACAGTAGCAAACACAATTGCAAAGGACTGGATATTGGAACATGAATTTACTGCGAATATACTCTTCATTCGCCTCGCGATGCCTATTATATTTACACTCAACATTGAAAGGAGGAATAATGATATATAGCAGAAAAAAGAAACCTTAAAAGAAGGTGTTGATTGTAAAGTAAGACATGACAGTAAGGAAAATTCATAAGCATGTAGTGAACAACACCGACCGACTCCTGACTGCCCCAACCGTGAATACCCGACCATAAAAGACATGTGACCGTAATGAAACCGTTATCCGTTGTTCTCCGTTATCCCTATCCTCCCAATTCCGACCAATGCCATCCCCAACCAATTCCATCCCCAACCAATGCCCGAGGATTTCCTCTTATTTACACCTGACCTTCCATGAATCAACCGTTAAGAAAATGACTAAACCGTGCATCCTTTGCAGAAATGAGTGAAAGTTACTGTAAAGAAAATTATACAAGAACTAAAAGAGCGTATTGTGGTGTTGTTGTGATGTTGTGATGTTTTTTTTTGTGTTTTTTTTATGTTTTTTTCCATTCGAGAATCGTTTAGGGTGATGTTTAGGCGCCAGTTGTGGCGGCAGCAGGCTTCTCAGACTCAGAGCCAACTGTATCGTCAAGAGGACCTCCAGCGCGGCGCTTGAACCAGACATCCATGCCATCAACAACGACAAGAAGAAGGAAGACTTCTTTGATGTTCTGCTCGTTGAGAAGACCGAAGTCGAAGTTGAGGAGGATCTGAGCGGTGACCTTCACCAAGTTGATCAGGGCAATGTGTTTTCCAAGGCACTGGCGGGATCCCTGGCCGAAGATCAGGGAGTGACGCTCAAGCTTGTACATCTGGTTAGGATCCATCCAGCGCTCAGGCTTGAATTCAAGGGTGTCCTCGCCCCAATATTCAGTGTTTGCATGGACACTCCAGGCGCTCATTCCAATAGTTGTGTTCTCTGGGAGGAATTTACCACAGACGGTGCGGCCACCAGCGGGGACGGCACGAGGAAGAGAGAAACCGGCGGGAGGGTGGAGACGGAGGGTTTCCTTGACGACAGCAGTGAGAAGGGGGATATCTTGGAGATCCTTCCAGGTCGGGTTGGCAGTGTTCAAGGCGAGAAGGGAATCCATAAGCTGCTGGTAGACATCACGGTTGCGGCACAAGTTGATGATGATGTTGCGGAGAGCGACGGATGCAGTATCAGGAGCAGCCAAGCTAGAAAAGGGGATGTTAGTACCCAGGCTTACAAGGAAAGTTCAGACAAAAGGTACCCACACAAAAATGTAGGCGTGGTTGGTAATTTCTCCCAGTGGGAGAGCGTGGCCATCCTGGTAACGTGCTTCCATAAGACCCTGGAGCAGATCCTGGCGACCAGTAGGGTTCCCTTCAGTGACACGCTTCTGGATCTCGCGGACCATGCACCTGGCGTAGTGCTTCATTCCAGTCTTCTTGACAATTTCAAGTTGGGTGAGGGGCCAGATCCAAGGAAGGTAAGACCTGGAAAATTGTTAGAATGAGATCTACATAGCTTAAAAGGGTCAAAGCGGCGTACTTACAAGAATGGAGACAAATTAAGCATCTGGCGCAGATCGCGGAGTCCACCCTCAACGTCGCGAGCGGCATTGCAGAAACCAAAAGACTTTCCGAAAACAATATCTGTAATCATGTCGTAGGTGAAGTACTCGGACCAAACGGTGAAGTTACATTTTTTGCCGGTTTGAGCGAAATTCTTGTCGAGAGCAGTGATAAAATCCTTGATGACGGCGTCGAAGTACTTCTCACTCTTGAGGATGGCGGTCATGCTGTAATCCTTGGCAATAGCACGACGACCGAGAGTGTGGGTTTTGATGTCACGCTCAACAGCAAGGTTGAAGTAACCGTTGGGGAGGGCGATATCGTACCTGTCCAAGCATCGATATTAGTAAATTTAATCAAGAAGGGAAATGATGAGATGGAAAAACGTACATGTCACACTTGGGATAGACATTTTCACCGTGAGAGTAGATTTCAGAAACAAATTCAGGGTCCCAGACAGAGACTTCGTTAGGAGCAATGCGAACAATGTTTCCATACTTGCGGTGGAGGTTGGTCAAGTCGTGATGGTAGTTACTCTTACACACGGCGTACCAGAATCTCCACAAAGGCGAGCACGAAGCAAGCCAAGGACCAGGAATGTCCCTGAGTGGTGTGTCATTGCGAATGCGGTGCATGCGCTTGGCCAAGCAAGCCAAACCAACAACCGAAACCAACCCAAGCGCAACGAGGAAATGGGAGAGGCCAAAAGTGAGGTCATTGGTGAGGGTTGACAAGGTCAATGAAGGGAAGCTGAAGGTGAGAGTTTTACCACCCAGGGTGATAGGATGCTGAGCAGTACCTAACGAGAGTGTGGGGAGAGCCGAAGGCACAGAGGCCAATGGTGAGTAGGAGGAAATCATCCTTGATGATTTCGATTGGATGGGAACACTTATTCAAAAACGCGAACAAAACGATGATAATACCCTTGGTGGATGACCAGTAATACCGTTGATGGAAGATCAGTAGATATCCTACCCTTAATATATTATATTGAGGATATGGGTGATTGTGATTGTGGATGGTGAACGAAGGAATAAGAAAGAGTGGACGAAGAAGGTGGGGGGGTTATATGTATTTCGAGGCAACGTGAGATTCAGGGAGCAAACAGCACCACCCACTCTAATCTACAATATTTGTGACCCTTTGGTACCAACCCGCCCACAACGCTCCACCTGCAATGCTATCTTGCAGCGCTTGTCAACTCCAGTGACCCAAGAAAATGGGAGGGCAGCCTCCTTGATTGAGTGGAGAATGCGGGTCCTGCATAAGGTCAAGAGAAGGAGGGAAAGAAAAAAAAAGGATAACACCAGTGCGTATTCAACTAGCCCACCAAAAGGTGCAGCATGTGAGAACATAACGCTAAGCAGGCAAGCAGGAAGGGAAGGGAAGGGAGAGTACCAGCCCCACAACGCAACTCAAACGGCCAGCATCACTACCTACGAGTCTCCCTCGACCACCAGAAGCAGGTCCGAATTTAGCTTCCTGCAGAGCTTTGCTGTCTTGCAATTCAGTCACTGGCGGAGGATGGCCCGGTAGCATCAAACTAGTGACCAGCGTCATCCGAAAGCGCGGGGAAGACGTGGTAGCCAGACATGTCCGCGAGTAGACCAACCTCCGGCAGTAGCATACTGAAATCGACAGCCGGAAAGGTTGGTGAGAGACCTGAAGATAGGACCCCAGAGAGTACTCATGCTCCCCCCACCCACCTATCCCCTGCTTGTACAAGGTCATCAGAGACCATGTGAGCGGAAGCGCAAGAGAGGCAGAGACAAGACTCGCAGGGAGTCAGGTTTGACAGCCTTGCATCGAACATCTGGTGAATATTAAATATATTCTTTGGTAATCGGGGGGGGGGGGTTGGATACGCTACATGGGTGTGTGAGAGGTATTCGTACTCTGTACAAGGGGGTACATGTCAGAAAAGCCACAGAGGAAGAGGAAATACCCAGCTCCTCGGTTAAGGTTTATTGGGACAAGGTCTCTTCTCGCAGACCTTGCTGTGGCTGCTGGTACCCCTTGAGGTACTGGTACCGCGTACGACTAGGAGGGGGAGGTATGATGTCCTGGAGGGAGGAAATATCTATGCTACCTCCCTCGCCGTTCACGTATATGTCACCACCCCGATTGTTGTTTCAACCACGGAGTGTCTGGATGATATCGAAGGAGGGAATAATGCCATCCACTCTCTAGTGCTTGGAATTATAATTTTCCTATACTATGTATGGTATCCCCCTCATCAGCAATGTTAACCAGTTACGATTGTTTCTTTTCTCCTTCTCTGGAATCAGGTAGATATACCGTTTTTCTCGTTCTCGTTTTTCTTTCTTCCATCGTTCTGTCCCCCTTCCATTCGACCTCTCCCCCTTTCTTTCCCATCCCATCCCATCGTTCCCCATCTCATACCTTCGCGTCCTTGTCCATCCCATCCCATTTCATCTAACTCCGTCCTTCCCGTGTGCAGTAGCTGGTTCCTCGCTCGCATAAAGCCGTCTCGTCGGTGCTGTTTGCCAAAGTTTGACATAGCCATGCTGTAGGGAGAATCGACAAGACCGCACATACAGGCTGTCGTCTTCCCCGGCTTCTCAACAACAGCCCGTGCCAAACCCGCTAAGCCAGAATTAGTAATTCGATGGTACAAAACGTTCGTATACGGTTAGCCTGCCCAGGCGCAGCCACGTGCAGGTTATCTGCGGGGAGCCGAAAGGGGCCGCAACTCTTTCGTTCCACAAGTTCCATTCGCAGGAGGACAGGCGACGACCAGACAGACCGTCACAGACGTACAACCACCCCAACTGAGACACAACAGACGTCAATCTTGGGTGCTAGTAGGTACATCGATGCTACTGTGCTCTACTTGTCTGTACACTAACGACAACTACTCCATATTCATCGGTAGTTACTTTTTTAAAACCCAAGCTTCTTTGGTAATACATATGGGCTAGCTATTAATTCAACAGCACCACCCCGGGACCCCCTCAACGTGATTACATAGAGGATCTTCACACTTACATGCACTTTCCTAACTCTGCTCTCTACATTGAGAGAATAGGTACATACATGTACAGTGATGTACAATTCGAGGTATCTACCCCCCCCCCCCCCCCCAAAAAAAAAAAAAAACCAATGTTTTGTGGCTGGTGGGTATCTACCGAGTACATATACCCATTGCGCAAGTACTGTATGTAGACTACCTAGCTAACAAATCTATCTGATAGAAGGATGCAGACCCGGTTCTTATTGCAGCGCAAAGATACACGTAACATCCCACATTGTCTCCTGCGATCGCAAGTGGAGATAGGACGTATGTAGGCAGAGTGACAGAAAATTTTGAGGTCCCATATGAAAGGCTCGCTTCATGTGAGTACCTTAGTGTATGTACCCCTTGTACCTACTTCCAAGTTCAATGCATGTACGCACACACTTACCACATACCGTATGTACATAGACACAAATCCAATCGTACTTCTCCTATTCACTCCCGAGATGGCACTCGGGCGGGGAAAGTCCCACAATACTGGAAATTTTTCCCAGTACCTCTACATACATACTCCATCTCTTACCACTTATCCGGAGGTCCCAAAGAAGGATAAATCAATCGTAAGCGATGCGACTGCAAGTCACTGCAGGTACTTTAGAGTACCTGCTTCAGCTGGTGAGGGAGTTTTAAAACAACCAATAGGATCAAGTACACAGGTAGGTAGTCATTTTTTCCCTTTTTTTCCCACCTTCTCTTTCACTTGATCTTTGAAAAACAAGGTACCTCTCACACAGAGGATATTTCGAAAACGTCCCGTAAGCGCACTCCGTTTCTGCCGTTGCTGCGGTAGAGCATGTAAGAGATCGTTACGATGCATTTCCCGAGCCGTGACCCCCATAAAGGTCGCGCTAAAGAAGGGCACTTTTATGTCCTCCTTTCAACTGGCGGAAAAGAAAAATCAAGAAGAGGGGGGGGCGATACTTATTATCAAGCGTGACAACCCGGCCTATGGGCAGCTTTGATCATCGAGGGGGTTATGTAGACAACGTTGGCATTTGAGCATGTTGACACTGACCCCCTTTCTCCGGGAGAGCAAGCCATGCCGGGTCTCCATGTGGTCAGGGCGGGAATTTAATTTTCACCATTTTAAAAATATCATTGTAACTCCTCTCTGGCTCGGTTATTTTGCACTTGACATGTTGATTTGAGGGTGTGTGGGGTGATTCGCACGAAATATGTTGAAATAACACATGTGTTCACACAGGTTGTTTGCCCAGGTTCAGTTAATGGGCCAGTAGAGATATTATGCTCGTTTATAATTTATCGAGATCCACGATTCTGCAAGTAGGCGCCTAACCCTTTTTTTATCGTGCGTGGTGCCTACATATCAATACTTACTCTAATCTACACCTCCCCGATAACACGTTTATAGCAGAGATCGGACGAACATTCCCCATATGCTAGGAGATGTGGATATGGAATAAATGTACCTCCTTTGCACCGGGTAAGGACTGCATTGCCTCTTGTTCAGGATACAATGTAGGTCCATCGGACTATGAACTGGGGAGTAAGTAGTACAGTAGAGTACGACAGGGCGGGGGTGGAAGCTGAAGATGTTTCTCTGGAGCAGTGGAACCTTTTTAGCGCATCCTTGAAATATTGACTGGTAGGTATTGAAGGCGCCAAGTCATCCACTCGATACCTTGCAAGTTCGATCTGCAGAGGAGACCGTATAATAATATTTTCTTTTTTAATACTTGGATTGAGCTCAGAAGCGCAGCTTGACTACGTATTCTACTCGCTCGCGTAAGTCTACAGTTGATTCTGTATTACATAACTTTGATACATGGTAGGACGTCTGATCATCCACAAAGGCTTTTTATAGGATGAGGCCACCTCAGATTCTGAACAGGGTAGGTGCCATAGTATTAGAGTATCTACTGAGTCCCGCACAGATCCCGAACTGGTCTTAGAGACCTTCACTTCTTTGAATTCTCCCAGAATGGTCCTGACGCATTGGCGTGGTTTCCGACGTTACACCACGCTGTATAATGTGGGTAATGTTTCACGACCCGTAAACGTGGTTTATTGCTCCTCCCCCTCCTCCTCCCTCTGACGGTGGCAGTGCTCAAATATGGTGGTCTTGACCGTTTCCTGTCCCTTGCACATTACTTTGAACTCTGTGTCACGAGCGAAGTCTAATATACCATTATCACTCAATAAAAGTATAACTTTGAAGAGTCCGCGAGGAGAAACAGGTCGTGGAATTCGTTTCCTGATCATGTGTTTGCTTCGTTTTGTTTCTATCCGTTCATGAAGCTGCAGCTGCATATATCTGTTTGTTCACATTTTCACAAGTATCCTAACATTTAACCGCCAGTAGGAATATCCCCGAGTCCAGCATTCTCAGGATACAAAGTGCATATTATCCATCTGTTGGAGTACCTATTCAATCCTTGATTGATGTTATTGTGGGCGTTTAGCACAGAATGTGCTACATCAATCTATTTCCCCCTCAACTTGTGAAAATGTGAATCTCCGTGATCTGTCTGTACGGCGATTGAAAAAAAAAAAAGCAGCACCTAGATTAGATTCAGCTCAGAATCCTGTTTCCCCTCATCCTCTTCCTCCGGCTCTCTCCCTACTCCGTCATTCATGTTTTACGACACATCTTATCCTTTGCTTTCTTTTTTCGTTTCTCTAGTACTAATAATCGGTAGATGAGCCTTTGGCTTCATGATCATCCTCGAAGCGCCCGGAATTGCCTTAGTGGCAATAGCTAAAATGCTCAATGGCGAGTCAAATTCACCCGGGAACCCACAAGCCCATAGGTCTTGAGAGTATATCTGTCTCAGATCCGTCCAAATTTGCCTCTCATAGAGCTCAATCAGCTGGGCAAGGCGTCACCATAGCCATTGAGGGATACGAGTACATTATTCCGATTTCGATAACCTGGATTACATGGGCAGCCACAGTAAATGCCCCAATAGGATCATCGAAAAGCATCTCTTCCATATTCCTTTTTTTTCCGAAAGATTAATTATCTTTTGTTCCTCTAGCCCGGTGGGTGTGGCAGTGGTTTGTTTGTGTGAATCGAGCGTAGGTAATTTACTTCGACACCACTTGGTCTATGATTGCGACTAATTCTTCGACCGCGGTAAAAATGATAGATATGTCAAACCTCATAAACGAGATAGCCAGGCCTAGACTCTGTTGCGCGTAAACATAAACCGAGAGTCTAGAAACAACTTTCCCTGTTTATTTGCCTTGGATATAACCGGGTACGGATGGTTATGCGTGTATCGGATCATGGATTGATATATGATTACCTGTATTCTGCATCGTTGACCCCAACCCCCCACGCGCCGCGGTTGCGCATCGAGCTAACGAGCGCCAGCGGCTCTCTCTTTCGTTAACGCACACCCTCAAGTTCCGGGGTGGTATCAACTATTCAGTCCACAGGTCCACCATCTGCACTGCGGACGGGAAGGGGAGCGGTCTGTCTCGCCTATCCGGGTACATTAATATTGATTAACCCCTCAATCATTTACATAGGGGTAATTCGACAGCTTAGTTCATTATTACGATCGGTGCCGATAATCTTCACCGTGATTGTGAGGTTTGACGCGGAGAGGAAGTAGATGAGGGGGTTATCATCACTATCCTTCTTTCTACGCGCGTCTTTGGCGTCTCGTCTAAGCATACAAGTGGAAAAGTGCTTTGCATCTCCTCGGATGAAATCACTCTCCTGGTTCTCGGCTTCCCGCGCAGATATATTGACATACTAATACTATTGCAAAGAAAAATAACCATCCCTCCAATGTGACTTTACAGCCACCGCAGTTTAAACGATGGGGCTTTACCAGTGCAGTTAGCATCCCCGGCTGATATGGCGATAACCTAATGGCTGTGGATGCTCCCGTCACGATTGGCCGAGGGAGATGAATCTCATGAAGTAAGAGACTGACTAGTGTTCTTTTTCATTTCTTTTCTTTTTTTGTTCATAATGTCTTTCTCACTTGTGATACTGACTGCACGGGCTGGTTACGTAGTGCCTTACGGCTTCCTCCTTTTGGACCTTTCCCTGCGGGGAGATGGCACTCTTCTTCCGGCGTGACCTTCCTTCTATATCGCTGCATAAACAATCCACTGCAGCCTTAAACATATCTCCTGGAGCTGGGAGGTATATACATGTCCGACTATCAAAGATACAGGTCACAGAGAGCGCCATAGCGCTAACTAGACTATACATAGTGCTCAAGTCACGTTCAGCAGTGTCTTGCCTTTTGATATTGATTTGAAATCCAATAACCTACACGCACTAGATCAGATTCTTTTTTTTTTGATTTTTGCACCAACAGCAAGGAGTTGACATCAGCTAGTAGGCCAACTCATGGATCAAGCGCTGTACACGCGTGCTGGAGTGCATCTAATATTGCTCGGAACACGGATACTCCCCATCCCGCTCCCCACTAAACGTTTAGCTCTCGATCATCAACTATCACGATTTTGATATCAAGCATGAGCCAGAGTAACCATTCAACCCTAACCCTGTCACCAGAAGCAGTAACCAACCACATCCCGGAAATGATCAACCCCACACCCACACCCACCCACCACCACCCATCAAACCCAGCTGCTTCTCGTAACGGTACTGGGCGTGGGCAGCAGCCATCTCTCTTTATTATGTGCTGCGGCAACACATCCGGCGCAGGTCAACTCGTGAAGACAGCCCGGGGGGCTGCTGCCCATTACTTCACGTACGCTACGCCGCAGTGGTGCAAGATGCACTTTTCCACAAATCGCACTGTCTCGCTTATTATGCAAGGAGACACCATAGGAGCGATGCCGGCCGATCTTGAAATTTCAATCGCAATGGTGGGAGAAATCCGTTCTTTAGCTAGCCCGTGAGGAGTCGAGTACTAGGGTGTAGCGAAAAGTGATCAGAATCTGATAAGACAAATACACGTATTCACCGCAACATTCACTTATCAGATTCTGATCACTTACCCTCAACACCCGGTACAGATTCGCCGACCATACAGAAGAGGAGAATTCTCGCGTTAATAGCGCCTCTTTTTCTTTACTTCTTGGTCATTTTTGTTTTTCTGCGGCAGTGCTAGAGTAGTTGTGAATGCTCCTCAGATTAATACCCACACCTCAAAATAAACCATTCGCTCAGCGTAATTCGCCCTAAAAACATGCCTTCGATTGTGTCTTTCTACGTATTCTATGAGTTCACTACTGTAGTGGTTCTGAGATAGCTAACATGTGAGAGTGGCTCCAATCCTTGGAAGTCGACAAAGTGACAATTGGTGTTCCATCTGCTTCTGTAATGCTGTTTACAGAATTCTATTCCCCGAGACCAATTTCGCACGTATGTATATGCAGTCTACTAGTGAAATGTTAGATCCTGCGTTTCCTTTCTCCCACTCCCAGGTCCCGTACATACATACCCATACACACGGCAACCGGTTCGTCCCACTGTAAAAAAAAATAAAAATAAAAATCCTCCGACGGCGGCCTGATCAAGATTTATCAACATCCATGATTCGGCGTTGTTACGATCCATGCTGTTTGTCTCGGGTGGTGTGGATCACTTCATCTGCTGAAACATATCCCTCTCAACTTCTAACCTCTGGCTCTAGATGTGTCCTTGTGCTCAGTATCACTCCGCTCTCTACCAAAAATGAGAACGTTTTTTCTCGTCCCCGTACGTTAGGGCCTGTCTTGGGGGGCGGCATGATAACGGTCTAAGACGTTGGCTCAGGATGGGCCATGTGGATTGAAACATCCTCAACCCACATATCCTCCCCACATTCATACCTCCACACGAGCGAACAAGGAAGTTAGAAGGTATGTCGATGAACAACGATTCGAAACATGCCCCGCAGTACTCTGGAAGCCAGTTCGTCCGATAAAGCCTCGGGGTGCTAATGCGCACGACTCCCCTCGTGTCAGATCTCGGGAGAGAGTGGAGGTTTGAGTATCATGTCTGACTTTGGAGACTCTCAATGAGTGACTTTGCCCATGACTTGACTGCGAGGATGAACCTGGGGAGAACGACGGCGACATCCGGTGTAGATTGTAAAGGGGGAGAAACTGTGTGAATGAACAAGGGAGGGATTGAGGGAACGAGTGAGTGCTCATGTTGGGACACATAGTTTCACATCGGTTGTCACGATTACTCAACAGGTGGTTGACGCCTCCCCTTGCTTTGAGCTCTTCGTTGATCAACCTAACTGACAACAGAATACTCACAGGACACTGACACATCAGACCAGAAGCTTGTCTCCTTTGTTGGATAGCGAAAGACCCGGCTCCCCCGGATTTCGGAGGTCTTTATTAGGGCTACGGATAGGCAATTCCTTCTTCCACTCTCTACTCTTACTCTAGAGGGATGGAACAGCAGGACGAGATATATTGCATCACTGTCCGCAAGACCACTCTAATGTATATGCAGTCACATTGACGCGAAAACCATCACCGCGCAAGTGGGAAGTACTTAAGTGCCCCCCGGCGGGGGGGGGGCGATGATACTAAACTTTGCCCATTCTAATCGTAGGCTACATAGACATGGAACAGAAATCGAAAATGACTACTCCTTCCGCAACTCGACACACCTGGTGCCACTGTTTTGCCCCACGGAATGAACCGCGCAATCTTTCCCAGCTCCATGCGCACGTCCTCAGCTGTTGTTTTGGATTCCTCTCTTGATGGACCCCAGTGCGGATCCTAAGATCTTTGTTTCAGTACCGGTTTGTACTAGGTGGATCGATAGGTAATGTTCCGATGACACTTGGGCTATTGGCAGTCAGTGCTTTGAAAGATCATACCTGCCTGCCTGCCTGCTTGGGTAGATGATTGTTTTGATAACCATCATTATCAAGTTTGCCATGGTCAACTTCACAACAAAGGAACAATCCATTCACTATTTGGAATACCTGGTCGACCCATAATATATTTTATTTTTTAAATTAATTATCTTAATCCTGCTAAGTATACGTATGGCTATACAGGTATGTAATCAGCTAACACCCACAGCCAACGCCTATCACGAAAAACGCGCTTTTCAAAATCAATTAATTCCGCGCTGGCGATATGTTGATGAGCTGGCGGATCTTTACTACCGGTTCTGGCTTCCAATCCCGCTATCGGCTTGGTGTCTCAATTACAACGCTGAACATGAAAAGAGGAGCGTGCAACTGTCGGCCTTGGCACAAATATATCAGACCCCGGCACCGCAACCCTCCGTTCGGCCCCCATATCTGTTTACTGCTATCGATGGTCCGCACGACATCCGCAACTTGCCTAGCTGAAGTTTGCGTGTGTATCCTGTGCATTGGACAAGTGGTTGGCTCTCTTCCCTTTGTCTCTCTGTCTCTCAGTCCTTCCGGACTAGAAGAAAAAAGGGAAAGAGCGTTCATTCCCACGCAGCCGTTGATCGCATCATCCATCCAGGGTGCATTCGGAAGTATTCAGCGAGCGCGTCATTCGCCGGCGCATGGAATTCCTTTTTTCTTTCTGTATGTACTCGGTCGGAGGTCATAGCTACGGGAGTGAGGGAGGCCATAGCACGGGAATCAGTCTGTCGGGATTGTCTTGTAGGGACCTGCGGGATTCGTTTTCGAATATTTCTTTTTCTTTGCCCTTTTCCTTACATACATCCTTCGATCCCGTTCGGACGTTGGGATTGTCATAGAAGGCGTCCTTTTGCATTCCCCCCTTTTTTTCAAACCGCCGGCTTTAGGTTCCGGAGGTATGGGAACAATCAATAGAGTGAAATCGGTAGACCGGACGGGTAGGTACCTACAATCTAGTGTTCTATCGGGAATGATAGAACAGTCCACTATTAGCATGGGTCCTTGCAAGGTAGTGATCGACCATGAACGCTTGTAGGAACTCCTCCGTCCTCTTCCACCCTCCCTAAAGTAGAAAATACACACCACCTGTCTACATGCCTTGTAGCTAGGTTAGGGTAGAGGGTAGAGCAGGTACTTACCTTCTTCAGGTATGTAAGGTACTTGCTACGCAAGAACGTTCGCCTCACTGGATTACAAGCGTGAACGACACACTGTTTGCGGATAGCTTAAGATAAGCAACTTGCTGTGTGGCTGATAACTCTCCCCCAATCAATCGTAATAGAAGCCTCAAAAAATATTTTCTGCAGGACCATGCACGTGCTATTATCCGCCCTTCCCTACTTTTCCTACCACGAATGAATAAACAGTGCAACTTGTGCTTCATGACTCCCCTCGAAAAAATCTTTGTCACGAATATCCAAAGTCATCTCAGGCAACCAGGCAGAATTCTCGTAACTTCAACTCCAGGGCCTGATTAGACTCGGTAAATTTGAGTTCTGTGCCTCCTTATATCCGTGGAAATAAGCCCCCTACAACTTACCTTACTCTTGCCTCTGCCACTGCTGCACCTTCGCACCGCCTCCCCCCCACGTCTCGTTTCACTCCCCCGCACCTGAATACCTGCGCGAGACATATTTTTCCCTGTCGACTGACGTCCTTTCACGATCCACGACCTCACATCGCAGCGCAGGTAGCTCCCGGGATCAGGTACATATGTGCTAGTCGAGTATGATATTAACCCTGCCTATATCTCACGCTGTTAATTGTGGATTTTCTTTCGATTCAGACCAAGTCACTTTCTTTGCTTTTTTCTGGTGCCATAAAGTAGTTTTTTTTTGAGGTCTCGGGAACCGGGAGAACTTGATAGCAGTTGTCAGTGTAGGCAGTGAGCGCCAAGAAAGGATTCATTCTTCGGCGATTGATAGAAAAGTAGAAAGCCGCTGTTAACAACGCAGACGCTGGTGGCTTCGTGTGCTACTCCATGTACCCTTGTCATGATGCTGATCAGAGCAGATATCATCATGTCGAGTAGCGCGTGGTCACGTTTGCCGGCGTGATCGAAGATACAACTCCTCTTCCTAAAATAATATTACTTCTTCGGCCATTAGCGAGTCCTTGCCGTACCGCTTAGATAGGGCTTATGCAAAGGTCTCCTGACACTTGATCATGACTTGTGGTCCGCTCCTTTACTGCTCCAAGAAAAATCAAGGTTTACATCAGGGCGGAAGTGCAGGAATTGCAATACAAAATCTGCCCGTCAAGTGCACAAAATAGGCATGTAGGGGAGGCAGACAACCCACCACCATTTTCTGAGGGAAACGCTATCGAAAACTGGTTTTGGTGTGGTGTGCTGATTTTTATGGGATTTTGCGAATTTTGCGGTGATGGTTCGATTGTTTCCTGCCCCTCCGATATGGTAGTCGATATCCGTGATCTAAGCGCCGTGTTGTGAGATGCCTACTAGATAGAGAAGGGAAATTCACCGATGCAGAGAGGTGGTGTAAACAAAATGTCAGATGTAAGATGGATGCCTCAACCGGGGAATCGTACACTGTGCCCTTAGCTTTGTGCGCAGGGAGGACCGAGTAGGCAGAATAAGCGGGCCACTCGGCTAAGGCTGACACGGAGCGATGAAGGGGGTGTTCTCAACAAATGGGTGAGCGGGACGTTTGTTACTCCCTAGGCCCGGCCGGCCCTTGAGGTTCTTCCAATGTAGGATGTAGAAAAACGAGAGAAACCCTGGCCCTGGGAAAGTAAGGAAACAAAGGCAAGTTTGAGCGGATCTTCCAGTACATATTTAATTTTCCACACCCTGAATTTCAAGACTTGAGGTGTGCCTGTAGCTGTAGCGGATGGGAGGCGGGAAAGATTATGTATCGACGCGCAAATGAAGAAGATATGCATGAAATATCACTCGGTTCCACCCCCCCCCTGTCAAAAGTATAGTTTATTCGATTATGAATGAGAAGTAAGACTTACGGTCGCTTTAATATGGACGATAACTCCGTAATCAAGTATATGGAATTGGAGTAATACCGGTACTTGCTGGTAATACATAAACTCACCGCTCCGGGTATTTCCGTTGAAACGATGCACCGGGCCGCATGCGTAATAAACATTCAGCTCGCAGTATGTCGAGACGTGAATCATTGACCTAGGAGCCGTAAGCTCTTAAGGATACTGCCTTAAGTAAGGTGTTTAAGGTTATAGTTGATTCATGGGAATTGACTCGGCGCATGACCTCCGGCTCCACCTCACTGAAGAAGCTCGAAGGGATTCGATAGATGTCATACGTAGATACCGGTGTGTAACTACTTTCTAAATCCTCGAGAATTAATAGAAAGCTTATTCTGTTGTCCTTGGAAGTTGCCCTGATACGACCACCTTTTCATAAAGCTCTGTTTCGGCCTCGTTGCTTCCTTGATGTGAAGACGAGAATTGAACCTTCGTGTAATAGGCAAAGATTTTGAAAATTGCACTGAGGGAATTGCCCTGTGTAGTTTAGCCACACCAATGGTACTCCGGTATCCTTGATTCGAGCTATCTTGCGCATTCTCAGTGTGACCCCCCATTCAGCGTTGTGTGATATCAACTAGAGCCCGCATGATATTTTCGCTTTTGATATTTCATCCGGCTAGCTAAGAAGGATGGTTGGTTCACAATATCAAAGATTTCGTTAGTTGGGATTTGTACACACTTCCCGCGGTCGAGTATGAAACGCCAATCGATGTCTTGGCCTGCGATTGAAGCAGGATAACCGTCGAGATGTCTCGGAACCTACAAGCCTCGCGATCGAATTCTAAAGATTTGCCTGCGAGGACGTAGGCAGTGTAGATAGGATGATAAGCCTCACACCCCGCTTGATGTAACATGCTTTTTCTATAGTAGATAAAAAAAATGAATGTCGGATTGCCTTTTGCAAAAAGCTAATGACGTGACATGGTGACAATATCTCTTGGATAGGTAGAGTATGGCTCCGAGAATCACCCCACCCGCTGACTAGTCGGTCGGGTTCTAGACCAATCGAAAGAAACTGAGACATTCGAGCTTTGTTTATAGGCGAGTCAAACGAAATCCACCCCGCTCATGATATATCATACGGATTGCTAATTCTTCGAGAATGTTAGGTTTCTTGAAACAAAATCATGGTGATCTAGTCTTGGACCGATCATCGGTAAAATATGCTGATTTGGTACATCCGGTTTGTCAGGTCCAGCGATTATGAGAGACCAGAGGAGGGGTGATTCATAGGCTGTGAAGAAAGCCCCCACTCTTCTCTGACACATTGGGGAGAGTGAGAGCACATGGGTACAGGTACAGTAGAGGCGCTGGATAATAAACTCACCTGCGTAGTCTTGAAGTCTCATGATTGAATATGACTGCAAATGAATGATGACATTATGCATGTAGGTTTGGGCATATTAGGGGTGCATGAAATTCAAAAAGAAAGCATGTGTTTTGGGATTTTCAAGTGAAAATTCTAGCACTGAGGTCTGGATATATATCCAAAATCCAATACACCCTGAGACGGGGGTCATCGATTCAAAATCCTGCTAATGAACCATCTGGATACTATCAGTCCGCGATGTGACTGTATGTATTATGTGGATTGACAGATATACCACAATGGATGGTTAAAGGGCGGTCAGGGTGATTCTGGATAAAGATTATAAGGACTAAGAAAAGAAACATCGAATCAATTCCATCATAGAAATCTAGGGTTTCTGTGGTGACCTACTTGTAACTTGATATATTTCTATACTTCTAGTCCCTCCTTTAGTGACATTGGCGAAGTAAGAGGTGGGATAGTATTAGAAAGCGCGAAATCTTTAGAATATACGGTTTTGTCAAAACTTGTGCAGAGAAAGACGTTCGGGCTCACGTGCTGGACGAACGTATGACTAAGCACCGCTCTTGTATCCTCTTTGAGCCTTGATAAAAGGGAGGATACCGCGAAGAAGACCATCCCCCGGTATATTAATGCCGTGACTTCATCTCGCATTGTCGCTAAGTGATGGGGATCTGTGATCAGTGTTAATCTTGTGTCGTCATGTGTCATCACTCGGACAAACTCTCCTCGTGGTCGGCTTCTGTGTATACATGCGCATATACAGTTAAGAACTGATCCATTTGACCAGGAGAACTTGCCGATGGAGAGGGAGCGGGTCGACGCTTCTCAAGCGATGTTGGTTACCCATATCCGGGCTGCATGTACATGACTCATGGCAGCAATTGCAAGGTGTTCGAACATTGTCAGATCTTATGTCTGCCCTCACCGTGTTTATATGCATGTAATAATTAATGTATATGTAATGTTTTCCAAACGCGCCACCAAATCACGTGCCACTATTTTCGACGAGCATATTCGCGTCCATGTTGATATTGCATGTTTAGCACACGCGTGATAGCTATAAAAAGGAAGACTGGTTGAGGTCTTTCGAGAGTACGCAGCATGTAAGTACATGTAGGTAGCCGGATCTATGTGCATGCTTAGAAGACACCAAGTATTTTTTATGATTCCTACATAGCTCTGAACCTAACCATGAATCTATGCACTAGTAAATAGTGATTAAATCCGCCTGTTATTCAGCTTGATTCGATTTATATATGCCATAGGGTTTAGTTATCATTATCCGCTATAGAGAATACATCTTTTCACATGCCAATTGCCACCTCTGTAAGAGATAAAAAATTGATCGAGAACTCTTTATGGGATATATAGTCATATATGCATACGAAGAATTTCATGGAACAGAGATATACCAATATAGATACATTAATATGAGGAGAAGGTGTCATATCTCTCGCCTACACATGAACAAAATGTTCTTCGTCCGGGCCTACGGCGGATAACTCAGAGGGTAACCAGTCAACTCAGTGAGATTGAAATAGCCACGAAGTACTCGAGTGTTGGTAGAGTTTCAATCTCTAGCATGAATATGACTGGGTAGTATCTATCGAGTAGCGTGCTCTTGTAATTTCTCTAGTTGTGTTTGTTGTGTTTGAAAAATAACCTACGAACGTGAACGCCAAGTTTCAATCGGATCATGGCCTATCACTCGACCATGCGTAGTCTTGTTCATTGATTGATTGGCCGATTGATTGTAGACCTAAGTCTATGACACGGATAGTTTTGTTATTGGCTTCCGAAGCAAATGTTATCTAGAAAATGACAAGTTTGTGTATATTGCCTTTGACCTCGGTATATAAATGATTAGTCGTGTAAGCATCTGGTTGAAAATGCTGTATGAATTATATTTATTCGCATCGCATCAGTGCGGAACTCTGAGCTCTATCCGGAGGGGTATACTAGGCGAACGTCGACAAGTAGTAAAAAATGTCCCCCTTTTCTTCACTTCTCGTATTAGAGTCAGCACCTACAAGTAGCATGTGAGAAAAGTGATGCCGGATAAACACTTAACTAGAGGCGATTGTTATAAGATTTGTGCGTTTCTGACTGATGCCTACCTCGACGTTTTTGAAGGCAGGTGTTGAAGTGCTTCTCACTTCCACTGCCTCGGTTTTCTATATTATATAATCTGTAGTTACTTCTAGGTACGGCGGTAATCCAACTTAACAGACGGTTACACAAGGCGTCGAAGCCGCCTTTTACAGCGAGTATGATGCAAGGTTAAGGGATATTTTCAAGACAAATTGGCCATATCAGTAAATTTCAACGTCCTTTATTGCTGTCCACTGAGGTAATTTGAGATACTAGCACTCGGCACGACATTCGCACGAGTAGGGTGACTTTTAGGCCAGTCATTCCGTTAATGGATCGTGTGTGGGATGCTACGGGGGCGCCTGGTGGTGTGGTTGATCATGATTACCAGATCTCGACATAATATAGATATCGAAACGTATGTATACTACCGGGAGGTGCACTGAATCATCATATCTGCTCCTTGACTAGAGTACAGGGAGAATTAACTATCCCTGCATGTACACCCACTTAATACAGCTAGAGTGCGCAAGTGCTTAGGATCCTTTCGGGATTAGCTGAAGCTAGTTGACCACAGCCTCGTAAAAAATGCACGCAGGGCGATCTAATATGCACCGTGATCAAAAGGACTCTTTAAAGTCTTAGAGGTCGTTTTTCGTATGGAGTCAATGAGTCAACCGAGAGGTCGCTATCATGCTGATATCCGGAAGTGTTAGTGAATCGTCAACACAAACTAAATGACTCGTATGTAAGTCGAAAAATGTCCCACCACTACCGGAGGGGTGTTATAAAACGTGCTGAAAAGCCAAATGTATATGTATTGAGCTTTGGTTCTATGAAAATGGCGGGCGATTGATCTGTACGGGTTCAACTGAGGCTCAACTTGGACGTAATTCTTCGCTGGTTAGGGGGGGTGCATAGTACCGCGTTTTTATGATATCCATGCGGTTCTTCTCCTAGAGAGGGGTTATAAAGATAATAATAAAACTAGATATGATAATTGATTACTGACCGAATAATCTTAAATTATTCATAAAAGAAAACCCGAGTGATGCTATATGACCACAACCTGAAATTGTGACTCGTGTACTACTCTGTTTTACAGCCAGATATGTAATTACGCGTTTAGTCGGATCGCCATCGAGGAGGTCGTCGGGGAGCATGGATATATCTAATTACTCCTAAAAAGGCCGACTTTTAAGACACATGACGTTAGGAACTTGGTGAGAAATCTGTAAAAGACGGCTCAATCTTCCGAGGAATTTCCTACCAAGAATAAATAAGGAGGGCATGTACCTACATGTATGTACTATTCTGAAGGTCTTGGCAGACATCGGCGAAGGTAGTTTTGTTCCTGAATTTGAGTAAAACCTGCACATGGTGATATTGACAAAAGCAATCTAGGTTCGGGAATATCTTGGAGCGAACTTTGAGGTTTATGAGAATGAAAGTCATGGTTTCTGGTAGGTGCTAATGGTTTCTGGCAAGCACGATACCTGCTGGATCGGGGAGGTGTTTCTGATTATATAACATGTCTCAAAGATGCCAAGACATTAATCGAGTTTGTATACAATACCTGCTCGATCCACACGCTCTGTCCTCCCTAAAGACAAGAAGCAGAGGAAGTCTCTTCCCAGAGAATTTGCGACACGTCAGTCTCCTGTCTTCCTGTCAGACTTAGTCTCTGTGTCATGAATTGACTGTGTACGATGCATTCAATATCATTGGCGGAGGGAGGTCACTGCCAAATAGTGTGACAAACGATATGATATGCTTAATGCGCCTGTCTAGAGTACAGGGATATTAGAGTATTGCCTGCCTGAGAAGCCCGGTAATTGTAAGTGGGATGAACAAGTAAAAGCGTCGATGTTCGTATTACTTCCCTGAAGCCTCTCAAATCAAGATGTGGTAGACTCGACTAGCCAGAAAGGAAGTTCACTCCCGAGGATACCTATTCACAATCGACGTGCATTTTCAGCTTGACTATCTGCGTTTTCATTATTCCTTGTCCTCGCTAGTATCCGGGTTGGCGTGAGATGATTATGTTGACACAACGTGCTGCAGCATGCACATTGCATATCGCGCCCCTTTTGGGAATAGGGTCGGCGAGGGAGGCGCTGCGGGGAAACATAAACCTCATGCGCGCGATTCGCACAAAAAGAAAATCTATTTTGGTAGAGTATCAACATACTAGGATCCTATGGATTTGATAACTTCGAGGATGAGGGGGTTGCTCAGACAGGGTACTTACATGTATGCTGATTTGATCGATGAGACCGGCTCCTCTGTTTGAAGTCGCCTGAGCTAAAACCTGAACATAAGCAAAGCCCGAGCACAAACAAGCAAGTGAGTAATAATAAAGGCACAGTGAAAGGAGTGATTGTGACTACATGTACGTGAGATGGATGTATGTAGACATGTAGTTGAAAACCTGTCTACAAGAACCGTAAACTTGGCGTTAGGGTTAGGGGAGAACCGATCCTGCCAAGCCATGCACTAGGATCAATTCTACGCCCCTATTCGTAAAATTTGGGACATGGACGCACGCAATAATGACAGCTAGCCCGTTTCTGCATGTTTGACTTAATGATTCTTTTTAATTATCGGATACTGAGAACTATTCCAGATATATTTCTTTCAAGGTGAGGCCGAATTACAATGCTGGTTACTGGGCTGGCCACTTTAACCTTCGCTCAGAGCTGAGTTTAAACGTTATACCTACATAATTGTATCTATGTAGATGTGTATGCGTATATCCGTAGATTCGTATTTTAATATATATGTACCGTGGTAGACCACATGTATGCGCATATATATGCACGCGCAACTAGCTAATATTATCGTGATAGAAAGAGATCATGATCATAAGGAAAATAAAGAAGATGGTGCCCAAAAGAAAACCATGAGAAAGGAGAGATGTGTGAGTAGAGCTACGCTGGAAAGCAACGAAAACAGGAATATCACATATAGATAACACTCTGGCATGAACAAAACCTTCTCCAGACCACAAAACTGTTATAGTGAATATGGCCGTTTGTCACTACCGTACAACCTTTTTACAAGGCAGATGGAAGAAACTCATAAAGGAGAGAAAAAATGATCTATATATCGACTCACCAATTACTATGAGTAATACTGTAGGTTTGGAAGATTAGAAAATTATATTCTGACGAGTCGTATCCAGTGCGGAGCGGCCCATAAAAAGAACGATGCAACGGGAAGGCATGAATATAAGAAGCTGAGTTTACGCTAGTGCCTGGCTTTCTTTTTGTTGTTAACTTCATGGTTCTATACAGCGCTAATTAAGGCTATAATAATATTGAACATTATATCTATTGTCCTCAGAGCTTTCTTGGGTCTCCACCGCCACCATTAACCATAAGAAATAATAGAAATGATATAGTGTACTATAGTCTAAAGCAAAAGCAATATAAATGAAATAGCATGGTAATAATTTGTCCCTTCGATAGCGCGGTGGTAACAGAAAGGTAGACACAGATGGTACATATTACTGCACCTTGGGAGTAGATAGAATGATCATATAGCCCGCTGCTTATGGTTGACGGTTCAGAACTTCCAGTATGATGATAGGCGACAGTGATCTACAAGCACTGAAAACACACAAAAAGGTCGGTTTGTATTCTATAATTACCAAAGCTCATAGAAAAAGACCAAGCTTACATAAATGTAGTATTCTATATCACCCAAAAGCTACGGGTTGGGTTATGGCACTTCTCGAATCTTTTTTCCCCAACAAGACCAAATCGAGTGATATATTGTGACCGAGTGATTAAACATGATTCGCTTACTGGGTGTCTCTTCTCCGGTGGAGTTACTAATTTTCGGGGGGTGTACTGCATAAACTATCAGAGATGAAGGATATTAAAATCGATGAAGAAGCAAGGACAAAGATCTCTTCTTTCATCCTATTCATTGCCCTACTCTGCCTCCCAGGTTCCAGCTTTCTACTACAGCAGTAGATGGGATAAAAGATGTGTACTAACACCATACCAATCTGAAAAGAAATGAAACAATATGATACTTTTCCAAAATTTTCTGGTCGTTTTCCTAGTTTCTTAAAATCTGATGAGATCATTCATAGCAAGTGATATTAAATTTATCGATGCATAAATTGTGATGTAGGTGTAGGTGCGTCAGTCAGGAGATGAACCTGACAGAACAGGTTCAATTGACGTGCCCCAGATACTTTTGTTCTTCTTGATTAATAAAAGAGTAACCTGACACCTTGTCGACCAGGTGCAGCTTGGGGTGCCTGTCCCTAGTATTATTGTCTGTATGTCAGAGGAGCCATATCGAGAAAGTTAGTCGTCTTTAGTACGTCGGGGTGTGCTTATTTATTGATATGAGTTTTCTGTATATGTATTCCTATTCTATGTTCTTTGTGTAAGAGTTTAGGAGGTTCCGGAACCACGAGTGATGTACCATGAGCGAGTGATCAAATATGATGTGTCCATGATTACTGTGGTAGGGAGGTTAATTACGGTACCTAGACCTAATAATTTACGGCCGTCACGTTTAGAGCCGACTATATAGAAAGCTAGTACTTGAACCGTCTAGTGACTCATTCGCGTTCTCAAGTCTTTAGCGTGCATTTGGCAACACGTTAAAACCAACGAAAAACGGCCGTTTCCCCAAAACCTAGTTAGAGAAAGTCGTGCCTGTTTGGCAAGCCACTTCTTAAGCAGAGTTTGGGTGTTTTAACGGAGACTTTGGAACATAAAAACCCCACTAAATTCTCAAATACTGGCAGCTTGTGTTTGGCAACCAAAACGCCGTTTTGACGATTCTCGGTTTGCAATCATCCGTTGCATAATGAAGTTTTATAACCATAAAGTTGCGAAATGGACCCTTATTGATGTCGAGAACTGCATATGATGCAAGTTATGAAACTTCACTACGACTTCATTTGGTTTTGCATGGGCGGAAGGTCAAACAATAATCCTTTGAAGCTTTGATTTGATAATTAGCACTGTATATTACTCTGCTTTGAGTCCAGCAGCCGAAAGCGAGTTCGCACCTTACGTTCTTGAATTTTTGTTTCCGGTCTTTGGTATAAGAATATGCATTATTCTGCAATAAATACCAGAATAAGGTTTTGGATACTTCGGAGACGTTATATTTCTTGAATAATGATACTAAGGTGTAGCTCTCGGTATTTATTGTACTCCATGGCGGAATCTCTTTCAAACAAACTGCACAGGAGGGATCGAGCGATGCTTCAATTAAGTTTCAGACTACGTATGTCCACCACACACAGCCGTAATCCTGTGGTAAGGCGATGAAACTTTAACATATTTAAGTATGACCTGGACCATTGTTGATGACAGGGATAGTTTGGTGCGAAGGATGCTTCATGATATGCACAACGTTGTTTGACTATCTTAGTATTTCTTCATGTTGGCCTTTCAAAAAATGTCTTTAGAATCAAAGAGATCGTGGGTAATATTTCAGCGGTCTGTAACCTAGTGTTATGATATTTATCATTTATTGTCAGTGGTGAGAGGGCTACTTGACTCATAGTGTCAGCCCACCTTGGCAGTTTGCTGCGACTAAGAACTTAGAAAACTTATCACAATTAGAGTACTAAGAGCTCATCAGGGGAACCAATTCTCCGGAAGTATCTAGTAGTATTACTAACGAATAGGCGTCTCTAGTCTCTTCCCCGTAGCGCCCTCTAGTCCAACATCAGCGTTTGCGCCGTCATACCCTCCTTCCGGTGGCTATTGGTAGCGGCGGAGCTTTCGCTTTTTGGAAGGTTGGGACGAATGAAGTTCGGAAAGCTCGACTGTTTCTATCATTGTACAGTTTATGTGCGGAGGGCGCGGTAGAGGGTGTGTCTTGTGGAGATATTGGTTCATGTTTGAGGCATAGCCTTATATTAGCTAGTTGTGGAGACAATGCGTCTAGTTGTCGAGTTTCCGAAGAAGAGTGCTCTCATCATTAGCATAGTTTGATATGTAGGAATTGCCCTCCTTATCGACGCAGATTTGGTTTATGGGGGAAGAAGTGCGGGTGGGGTAAGATTTCAAAATTTCGTAAGTGTATGTAGACGGAGCAGATCCGGATGGAGGGGTAAGAATATTGTATGTGTGTGGCTCAGTGGATGATTCACACACGCCATGCGTAGGAGCGTACCAAAGAT